CTTATCTACAACATTAGGCTTATAAAGCGTTCAATGGATCTCGGAGATTAGTCGAGATGCACGTAAACTAGTCCGGACACCCCGGTGATAAAAAGGAAAATTATTTATTTGTTTTCATTAAAAACCATATATATACATTATTTATCCCCTATGAAATTGGGGTGGACCAAATTATTGGGGAAATTATTTATTTGTTTCCATTAAAAACTGTTAGTAAACTGATTAATGAAGTTGTTAAAGCTGTTAATCAGTTTAAGAAGTCTGTTAGAAAAGTTGTTAAGTCAGTTTTACCGTTGTAACCTTGCAGTCTGTTACGTTCTGTTTTACGTCTCTTTGCAGTCTGTTTTACGTTCTGTTTTACATCTCTGTAACTGTTTTAAATTCTGTTTCTGCTTTACGTCTTTTGCTCTGTTTTTACTATAAATGTCAGCTTGCTGGACTTCTCCAAATATAATGAAAAATACCGAAGTATTTCAGTTCTTCTTTTTCTTTGTTCTTCCCTGTTTTCGTCGTACCTTTCACAGCCTGTGATGAGGCTCACAGTTAAAGAAGTGGTGCATGTTTCCAATAATTGGCAGCTTCCATGGCCCCGGCGGTAATCTTGATTTCTTGGTTATGGAATTCTTCAATGCAATGAAGGTGAAGAATAAAATGGCAAGTGGGATCAGAAAATAGGGGTTTTGGAGCTCCATGAGAGTTGGAAAATGATGATCGATGTAGAGATATTGAGAGGTTTCGCGACTTTGTTGTTGGGTCACACTATATATGTATCAGTTATTTATACACTTTATTTGGGGTTAATAACATTAACCTAGGTTGGATAAAATATAAATATTCTCCTTACATTTCAGAAATAACAGAAATTCTCTTACTGTCAAGTCATTTCATTTATTAAAATAATCGATATTCAGGGGGTTTATTGTTATATCATATTCAGGGGGTTTATATCTTTTTAACCCTTTTATTAGAATTTTATAATGTTTTATTATCTCTAAAATAGATGAACTATTGTTTTACAAGGTGATGACAAGGTGGCGTATAAGGTGGCGCATAAAATGGTTTTTTAATACATAGAATTTAATTAAATAAACGGTTGTCGCTTGCACTATTGTAGTGGAATGAGATAAAATAGCACATACAAAGATTCTTTGAATATTATAAGATTTTAATTAAGTTTAAACAATAATTAAAATTTTCTAAAGTTTTATGGTTCTTCTACCAATGATAGAAATTCTTTTATTTTTTTTATAAACACTACAGCCAGGGCGGATCCAGCCCCGTTGAGAGTAGGTATGGGCTTACCATATTATTAATATATAGGCCCACACAAAATTGCTATTAATATATGTATCTAAACTCACCGTTAGATTTACAAAAAAAAAAAAAAAAAAGAATTATTATACATATATTTATGTCTATAAAAAACATGTTATATATATATATATATATATATTTATATTCCAAGCCCACGTCATCTTAAAAGTGTAAAACTCTCTCCACTCTTTTTCTCCACGACTCCACTTGCTTTTTATGATTTTATACCTAAAATTCTTATGAACTAGTAAGAGAGGATTAAAACTTAGACAACAATAACTTATGAAACAAACACATTTTACATGAATTATAACAACAACTTACTATGCAAACATATTCTACAAAATTTATAGCAACAACCTAACAGGCATGAAAACATTTTTGTTCAACTATGTACTTAATAGAACATTCCAAAGATTTATGCTGTTCAATATCTTACCGAATGGTAGATAATTTGTGAGGGACTACTGTCACCAACTACCCAAAAACTAACATATTAGAGATTATTGATTTCGTATATAGCTAATCTAGATGATAAATCTCATGTGTTGATGAACTTCTATTTTAAATTATTGATAATACTTGATGAAGCCAAAAATATGACTACTACTAGCTGTAAAAATATGTTTCATTACAAAATGAAGAGAATATAGGAGACACATAGTTAACTATATTGAACAAGGTAAATAGCTCACTTAAGGTGGCGCATAAAATGGTTTTTTAATACACAGAATTTAATTAAATAAAGGGTTGTCACTTGCATTATTGTAGTGGAATGAGATAAAATAACTTATACAGAGATTCTTTGAATATTGTTTAAGGTTCTTCTACCAACAATAGAAATTATTTTTTCTATAAACACTCCAGCTCAATCCAAGACATGATTTATCTGCTAAATTGTAATATTATAAGATAATTAAAACTTAGATGATGATCCATTTGGTTCTTCAACATTCTACATGTTACAGCTATAACTTCCTAAGCAAACATAAATCTAGTAATTTCTGTCATTATATAGTGAAGACAAACACTCATTACTTTGACATTTGATTTTAAGTAATTTAATCCACCTTTAAGATAATTGTTTGTATATATAAACAAGAATAATACTACACTTAAAAAGTCCTCATACAAAAATGTGTGTACAAAGTGATGTGTCATATTATGATTGGGAGAGTGAATTTGTAAAGTCAACTTTTTAACTAAAGTCAAATTTATTGTCCAATCATGGTATGACACATCACTTTATACATATATCTTTGTATGGGGACTTTGTAAATATAGTATTACTCTATAAACAATGATTTTTTTTTTTTTTTTTTTTGTAAATATTAAACTCTCTCCAAATTTATTGACTTTTACCATGTGAAATGTTGATGCAGTCATTTGCACCAACGAGAAATACATAAATTCCATGACAAAATCTATGTAAGGGATTTGTATGAAACCTGCAATGCAATATTGGATCAATGAATGAATAAAAAACGCAAACGATAAAAGATTTTTAAAATGACTCGGATGCTCGATGCAAGTCCTACGTCCACTATTTTTGTATTGCTTTTTGTGTTTGTTTTTCTTTTTCATATACAATTGTGGCTTGCAAAAAATAAAATAAAAATCAATCCCTATTTTGGGTGAAAAATAAAATTATATACTACTACAATGGCAAACAAGTAAATAAATTTAACCGTAAATATAATAACATGTGGCATGAATCTCCGCTCAGGGGATTGATCACACGGCATGGAACATTATCTTTTTGACATATTTAATCTACATGATCAAAATAATTAAAATCAAATATAATGTTGTAGTATTATATTCATTTTGAACATGAAAAAGTTCTAGCATTTGATCCATGTTTAATTTTTATATACAACCCAAATTCTCAAAACTGCAATAATTGATCGGTTAGAACAAAAAAAGGAAAAAAACCGGTCCTGAGCTTGAACAAATAGTTATTTGATTGAGTAATCTAATATTGAGCCTTCCAGAAGTGTAACATAAAGAGTTGTTTGCATGTTCACAGCTAGCATTGATTATTTCATCAATTCTCCATGATCCTTGACACCCCGCCACTCTTTGTGGTGATGCCAAAGTGTGTCATTGAAATTATTTTCCTGCTAAATAATGAATCTAATAATAAGATTTGATACCTCGTCAAGTGTCATTGAAAGTATTTTCCTACTAAGTTATGAATCCAATTATAAGATTTGATTCCTTTTCGTCGCACACAAATTGTTCTGAACGATTGCAAACTATTGTTTAATAAATAATACTATACATATAAAATATTTATACATTGTCATGTTATTTACAATAATCTAATATGCAAATATTAACTTAATTTTTATATTAATTCATTCAATCATATCCTAACATGTCACTTTGTATATATAGAAAACTGTATAAATTATTTGTAAGTGTTAATATCTGAAGCGCAAAACTTTTAACGTTTCTGCAGAAGATCACTAAACAAAACGCTGCCGTTTCACTGCAAATGAGAACAGATCTCAGTTGTTGAAATGAAAAAGATCTAACGGCCAGGATTAGCTCATGAGGTCAAACTATATAAAGGGAGAGTTTTTTACATAGAAACAGATATTTTGCTTCTTCTCTTTGTGCGACAGATCGTGGTTGCTCTTGTGTTGAAAGCTTTGTTGTCAATCTTGTTTTAGTTACGAATCTATGTAATCTTGGGTGAGGCTAGGTTGTTCCTTCAGGTTAGAGAGACATGGTCAGGTCCTTTCTAGAGATTTCAGGTTTGTGTGAGTGGATTAAAGATTGATCTTTGGGTGAATCATTGAGAGCAGTTTGTAATCTGTAATAACAGTTTATTCCTAGTGCAGTGAGCCCCAGAAATTCCTAGAGCTCAACGTGAATGTAGTCTTTCCATTGTAGAAAGGTGAATCACGGTATATTTGATGTTCTCGAGTTGATTGTTTTTTATTTTGTAATGTGTGCATGTTATCTGTTTTGTTTATGTGTGTGATTAGACAGAGAATTGATTGTGGATTTACATAACAGTAAGTGTAGTATTACATGTGCATTCGGGGTCCCGCTTGTGAAATATTATAAATGGCCTTGAAGTTGGTTTGTAAATATTTAGGCTTGTAATAGTTTAGCCCAATTGTGATTAGATTTATGATTACCCTAGTGTAGTGGTGGAGAGCCTAATTTGATAAATATTAAAAATAGAGAAAAAAGTGAACTGTTGATACTTTTTATTATTGTATTCGTTAGATTTTTGAAACTCAATAAAACTACTATATTTAAATGCTAGACATAATTCCTTCATTAGGAGCAAACCAGGATAAATCTGTTTTTGTTACTTTTCTACTTTTTTTGTTGTGTGTTTTGGCTGTGATTTCAATTTTCAACAAGTTATACCATTATCTAATAGATAATTAAGTGCACGTAGTAAATCTTAGAAAATTTTGTGTGGGATCCAACTTATAAAATGAAGAGGAATATGGAGAGAAACCATATCGAACAAATTAAAGTACATAGCTCAGCTGCTAGTACGTACCTTCACACCATCAATTAATTAATTCTTATTACAAGAAGTTAGACAGTGCTTAATTCATAATTCCTGTTATTATTTCTAGAGCATCATAAATACTCAGTACAAGCGACAACACATAAACACCCTTTAAAGCATACATATATATAACTTGTCAGATTAGTCAACAGGCTGAGTGAGGATGATGAGGAATTGGAACCAAGATCAGGTTATTTTTTCTTCCCACTGTAAGACCAAAAGCGTCAGCCATTTCAAGATCTTCATTCTTTTGTCCATTGGGAAGTTTCCAATCAAAATGATATAGCAAATGCGCAAGGGGAAGCTCCACATTGGCTATACCAAATCCTATGCCAGGACAAATTCTCCTTCCAGCTCCAAATGGGATGAATTCAAAATTAGGCGACCCTTTGTAATCAATTTCATTTTCAAGAAATCTCTCAGGATTAAACTTCTCAGCTTCGCTCCAATTAATGGGATCCCTCCCTATCGCCCATGCATTCACCAAAACTTTGGTCTTGACAGGAATATCATATCCGAAAATCTCACAACTTTTCCTACATTCTCTTGGAAGTAACAACGCAGCAGCTGGGTGTATCCGCATAGATTCCTTGATTACTGCCTTCAAATATTTTAATTCATGAAGACCCTCTTCATCAACTGTTCCTTTCATTCGGAACACATTTCTTACTTCTGCTTGTGCTTTTGCCATCACACTTGGATTCTTTATCAATTCAGACATTGTCCATTCCACAGTTGTAGCTGATGTATCACTCCCAGCGGAAAAAATATCCTGAAATAATAGGGTTGAAAAACTTTTGTTAACCTATATGTTAATAATTCGGAAATTATCATTCGGAAAGCTGTGAGATGTCTCTAATTATCACTTAAAGCATAAACAAACAAATAAATAAACAAACAAACCAAATATACATAAAAAAATTAGGTTAGATGTACACAACACATACATAAATCAACACAAGGACGTCCTAACTAGAAAACGACTCACCTTCAAAATAATTCTCGAGTGAGAACGTCATGATATTAATCTGTTAGGACCATGCATGTATATCATGGGATTTGAGTTGTAAAATATCATATAAAACCAATAAGATGAAATTAATATTAGGATGTCTTGACTAAAGAATGACTCATTATCTATTAAATTAATATTTGATTTAGATATTGAAATGATAATATACCCACTTATAAACCTGAAAAATATTTTGGCATTGACTTGACTACACATATCAATGTTGAACTATAGTTGAATTTGATATGAAAAGAAGATGATAGATGTCCATCTAACAACTCAAACAATTCGGTTGGACAGTGGGGGTTTTGTGAGCTTAGGTAGAACTTTCCTCAAAAAACTGGCTTGTCAAGGGAGGATGCCCAAGCCCTTTATAACCTACATGCCCACCATTTTCCCTTCCAATGTAGGATTTTAATATTCCCACATGCTTCGAGACCCAAAGTCCATATTGGCCTACTCTAGACGGCTTCAGTCTAAGTGACCTACTCTTAGAGGTCGCCCCTTCCTAGGTAGCCCTTTCCCAAGCCGCCCCTTCTGAAACATAGGCTCGGGCAGGGTTTGGCTTTGATACCATTTGATAATACCCATCTAACAACTCAAACAATTCGGCTGGACAGTGTGACTTTTGTGGGCTTGGATAGAACTCTCCTTGGAAAACCAGCTTGCCAAGGGAGAGTGTCCAAACCCTTTATAACCCACATACCCACCCTTTTACCTTTCAATGTGGGATCGTAACAGAAGATACATAGAAATACTAACCACGATGACTGCTTTGATGTTGTCATTACTTAAAGTAAACTCATGGTCTCCATTCTTCTGAATTTCCAGAAGAAGATCTAACAGATCTTTATGATCCTCATCTCTCTCCATTGCTGGCTTTTCACTTTTATGCTCATTAATCACGTCATTAAGCATTCCATCAACTTTGTGATGGATCGCCTCAAGTCCCCTCCTTGCCCCACTGATATAGTCAATATATTTAAAGGAAGGAAACATATCGGCCATAGTGAAACCTCCACCCAACACTAAACCTTCGTCAATCGCATCCAAGAACGCCTTTTGATCTTTCATTTTTCGACCAAACGCCGATCTCGTCGTGATGTCAAATATCATCGAAATAATTTCCCTAGTAATATCCACCGTCCCTCCGGCTCTTGAAAAACACAAACGAACGAGGTTCGATACCTCCTCTTCCCGGATTTTGCTGAAAGATTGCACAGACTTCGGATTCATAAGCTGAGTTATGCTTATCTTTCGTAGCTGCTGCCAGTAATTTCCATACGGTGAAAAGATAAGGTCTCTGCGGCCATAAGCTATAATATCTGCAGCAAGAACAGGAGGCCTTTGAGCAAAGTTTATATCATTAATTTTCAGCACCTCTTTGGCAGCTTCTGGAGAAGAAATAATCACAACTGAAATTTCGCCGAGCTGTAAGTGCATAACAGGACCATATATTTTTGCCAGGTCTCTTAGCTTGTGATGAACCTCACAGTTGATGAAGTAGTGCATGTTTCCTATAATTGGAAGCTTCCATGGCCCTGGCGGCAATCTTACACTTGATTTCTTGGCTATGGAACCCTTAAATGCAATGAAGGTGATAATGAACACGGCAAGTGGGATCAGAAAATAGAGGATTGGGAGCTCCATGAGAGTTCGAAGATGATAATCAATGTAGAGATAGAGGTTAATTTCTCCACTTAATTTGTTAGGGTCACATAGTACCATGTTATTTATACAATTTATTTGTCTTTTAATAATATTTTTTTGTTTAACGTAGAGATGATTTTTGTTTACCGTAGAGAACGGATTTTTTTCAACTAGATTTTAATTTTATAATCAATGAATTTGTCGTTTGTACAGTTGGAGTAATAACATAAAATATTTAAGTAGATTTAAAAATTAATTAGGAAGGATGAACTTCTAAGCTTCTCCTGTAAACATCAAACCACTTTTTCATAATCACTCAAGCTCAGGCCAAGCATAAATTATGGTTATTCATAAACACTCAAGCTCAGTCTAAGCATAAATTATAGTTAAAGGGTTTGTCATCCAGTCATAAGAAAAATATACTTAATAGGTCAGAACTAGGAATCGATATCTTACATTACTCCTTTCTTGGGTGCCTCTGCCACTGAATACAAGCTGAATGTATCCTATATTATCGATTTATAACATATTTAAAATAGATTAATGGATTATTAACTTAGCCATGCGTTCTTGTATATTGAACTTCCAATTATTGGTAATTGGTGAAACAAAAAATAATATTAGTTGTACAAACTCGCTGTGTAAAGATCTCTATCTAAAATTTTAACTATTAAGTGTCCTAAAAGGTTGATGCAAGCTCAATATATTCTATATTACTCTTTCTTTGAAGGGTGCCAGTTATACTATCAAAAAAAATACCAATTTCACCAATACAAATTCACGTGTGTATGTATCATGCCATTCATATTATTTTAACTACTAATATTGAATGATTTTTTTTTATTATATCCTTTAAATCTTGTTACACGCTTCTACCCTCTTAAGAGAAAACTATAATGAATGATATTAAATTAAATATAATCTTTTGTCGTAGATTATAATGTAATCGTTTTTAACATAAAAAATTTTAAGAATGTGATCCATGCTTATAAAACCTAAATTAATGGTCGTGCAAATTATATGGTCTCTAAGAAAAATATTGACCCAGAATTTCAACAAAGACTATGCCCTCTAATTAAATAGATTAGAATATAATGGTTCCAAATTTCACTCTATCGTCACTGACTTGACTCGCAAAGAGAGGTCATTGCACCTTAATCTAGTAAGTCTTTTCACAAGCTAACTCTGAACAAAAGCATCAATGTTAGAACTCAAGCCGAAAAGAGAGCTCAATTCAAAAGACCTACTTGATAGGTGAGAGAGTCTTTAAGCTTAAGTACCACACTTGGTGGGTGTTGAATCCTAAGACCATCTCCAACCCATTGCACCAATTTGGTGCAAAATTGCACTAAATTGGTACAAATTTTGGTGCAAAACACTATTCTATCTCTAACCCACAACATCAAATATTACACCAAAAAGAATATTCTTTAGAATATTCTTTTTTTTCTTTTATTGTAATAATCAACAATTAATCTATTTCACTCATTATTTTTGTATATATTAATTAAATATTGGGAATGATATTTTTATTAAATAATAATTATTTTGAAAATTATACTAATTTAATAAAATTAAGCATTTATTTAATGAAATAAACATTACATTTAATATAGAAAAACATTACATCTAATAAAAAATGATACCAAAAACAAAAAAACAACAAGGTGAAGGATCTCAAAATAACTCTAGTTCTTTTCAATATTTTGATGATCTTACTGGATCCAGAACTAATCTACCGGAATACTAAATTGTTATTTAAGTTTATGTTGTATTTTCTTTTAATTTTAGTGTTTTTAAATTAGAGTTAATTTTTATTTTGAGTTATTGTAGTTTAATATTTGCATTGAATAAAGTTCTATTTTTAATTTTTCATCATGTTTTAAATTATATCAATATTATAAATTTATTATTAAAAATAATAATCAAATTAAATTAAATACAAATACTCAAATTTGGTGTGATTTTTGATGTAAAATTTAATACTCAAATTAATTTAACAAAATTAAAACAAAAAAAAGCAAAATTAAAAAAAATATATATATATATTTTATTCGCGCTACAGTATTGCACCATTTTGATGTGATGCTTGGTGTGGTACTGTAGCACCACGCCAAAATGGCGTGGTGTTTGGCGTGGGTTGGAGCACCAACCCACGCCAATTTGGTGTTTTTTACGCCATTTTGGCGTGGATTGGAGATGCCCTAATGTGGGATCTTATTGAGCATTGCTGAAGAATCATAAAGGATTCTTTATTTTACAATGCCTCCGCAAACCATTTATTAGTATAAGAAAAAAAATGCAGTTGATTCTACTCAAAGGGAAGATCAAAGTAATATAGCAATTGGCTTAGGTTGAAGCTGTGCATTGGGCTATAATATGGATACTCTTCAGCTCCAAGTGGAATAAATTCAAAATCAGAGATTTTCAAGTATAGACGTCCGCATTGAATAGAAAAAATTGTCACCTTAACTTCTTTCAGAAAGTAAAAAGTATGTTTAACATAGAGAAATTATAGGAGCTTTTAAATTCTGAGAGTTTTCTGATAAACTCTCTAAAGTTTACTCCATAACCGGCTGAATTTGAAGAAATTTGAAGCCATGAAACAATCCTCAACAGTGAAATTAAACCTCCTGTGAAGTTTACACTTTCAAGAACAGCAGATGAATGTGATCTCTTCAGGATCTTTAAATTTTTCACCGAAGGCTGCTCTACCAACTGTAAAAGAATCTTTTAAAACAGATTGTGAGTGACACCTCTCTTTTTTTGTTTTGTTGTAAATTTACCATACTATAAGAAGCCCCTTCTCTGGGAAATCTTTTTTTCATTCCAAAATTTTTTCCAAGTTGCTTCGAATGAATTCAGCTTGTGGGAATTCTTTTTTTATTTTGTTCATTTTTCTTCTAATAACAAGAATTTTTCATGTAACAACAAGAATTATAAGTTAACTATAACACCCCGGCCCAACACTCTCAATATATTGTCCGCTTGGGCACCCTAGGTGGCCCGACTCCGAAACTCAACTTCTCACGGTTTTATTTTCAAGCCCAAAAACTCTTGCTTAAGGGCATCTCTCTCCTTCATATGTTTTAATAACTAACAATTATATAATGGTTAGTGTAGATGTAAAAAATCGACCAATATGAAAATAAGGTCTGATCCCATGAGGTTTAGGCCACTGACAATCCATTGAACCTGCACACACGAAGAGACAAGCGTGAAGCTTACGGAAAACACCGGGGTGGTGTTTGTCGTAAGCACTCCGACGCTCAAGTTAGCAAGGCTAAAAGAGACAATTTAATAAGAATTAGGGAAAAAAAGATTATCAAGAGTCTTGTCGAAGGCCAGAACCACGGCGAAGGTATAGAATTCTTGGGAGCAAGAATTTAGGAGTAAGAAGATGATTTTGAGTAGTCGAGACTGCCTTATGAGAGGGCAGGCCTCTGTTCATATAATGAACCCAAGGGGTTGGAATCCTAGTACGACACCAAGTCCTACTTTGAGAGATAATCACTATCAGGAAAGAAATATGATTTTTTACCTTTATCAGATTAAGTTAAGATTCAGGATCTTAGCAAAAGAGGAAATAGAATGAGATTCTAATTTCCTATTTATGGACTGTTAGAGGCTAATGGGCTGGTAACCCAATTTAGCTTAACTCGTAGGATAGCCTAACTCATAGAGTTGGCAATTCACAAGGTGATTTTAAACATAAGCCCAATCCCGATTAGGCTAAGGCCTTGGGTTATGACATGTTTATTTCGTTATTGGATCTCGTTAGGTCCTAAACGATTTTTTGCTCATACAGTTAGCTTAACAAATGTGAAATCAAAATTAGACACCATTCAACTAATCATTAGCTTAAACAAAATGCAAAATTAAAATTAGCGACTAACTGTCAATCCCTTAATTCGCATATTAAAATTTCAATATTCCAAACCTAATTAATGATTTTATATAAATACTACAGAGAGGTCATAGCTTAGTTGATATTACCTTCATACCATTAAAGTTTGCAAGCTTTTACTCCCATGGACATCAACTCTTATTACAATAAGTCACAAACTTGGTTCCCTTAATGTATCTTCTAGATCGTCTTCTAAAATACTTGGTACCAGCAACAACACATAACTTAAGCCGTTAACTTTAGGGCCCCGGGGGACTAGTTGAGGCGCACATAAACTAGTCTAGATACCCCTAAATACCAAAAAAATAAAAAAATAAAAAAATAAACACATAACTTCTAAAGCAAATCATAATGCATATTTATTATAGCATATAATTTCTCCAATCAGCTAACAGGGTGAGGATGATACAGACTTGGAGCCAATTTCAGGTCATTTTTTCTTCCCACAGTAGCACCACAAGCCTCAATCATGTCAAGATCATCTAGCTTTTCGCCATTGGGAAGTTTCCAATCGAAATGATATAGCAACTGGGCAAGTGGCAGCTCCATATTGGCTATAGCAAATCCTATGCCAGTGCAAATTCTCCTCCCACCTCCAAATGGGATGAATTCAAAATTAGCCCCCTTGAGTTTAAGATATTGAAAGTTTGGTTCAATTGACACCAGATGAGAAGATCTTATTGAATATATATAGAGCTTTACACGTTTGAATGAATTTCAAATATACAGTATAACAACCTTGCATGATAAGATCAAATAACAGAAAGATAAGACTACATGTAACAAAAAGATAACAATTTCAAATAATTCAAAAATGTTATCTCTTAGCTTATTCAGATGAGATGTAATCTTCCTCTTTAGTTATCTGACTCAGAATAGAATCTATATGGTTAATTGCCCCTTGCAAGCTGATGGTGAGTGGACGAACCATGAGCTTGTCTCGGAGCATGTAAAACCTGGTAGAGGATAAACCTTTGGTGAAGATATCGGATGGCTGTGATGCAGTAGAGATGTATCTTGCAAGTATGTCCCGGTTGAATATTTTCTCCCATATAAAGTGACAGTCGACCTCTATATGTTTTGTTCTAGATGGAAGACAGGATTAGAGGATAGGGAGAGTGCACCAATATTATCAACCCATAGGCATGGAGGAGAGTGTAAGGGAAAGCCAAGCTCTCGGAATAGCATGCGAATCCAATAGAGTTCAGTGACTGTAAGAGCCATGGACCTATATTCCGCCTTAGTACTTGAGCGGGCAATGACTGGTTGCTTCTTTGCCATCCAAGCAATTAAACAAGGGCCAAGGAATATGCAATATCCAGTGGTGGACTTGCGATCATCTGGGCTTCCAGCCCAGTTGGAATCACAGAAACCATGTAAAGCAAGAGAGCCTTTGCTAAAGTAGAGACCATGTTCAAGAGTGCCTTTTAAGTACCGAAGGACTCTCTTAGCTGCTGTAAGGTGAACAGAAGTTGGACAGTGAAGAAACTGACATAATTGGTTCACACTATAAGCAATGTCTGGTAGAGTTAAAGTGCAATACTGAAGTGCTCCCACAATGTGTCTATAGACAGCTGGATCAGATAGTGATTCCCCATCGTTCTTGGACATTTTCCCACCTGAGGTGCAAGGTGTAGAAGCAGGCTTAGTACCAATCATTTTTGTTTCATGCAGGAGGTCGAAGATGTATTTGCCTTGATTGAGATGCATATTATCTGCAGTGCGGCTGACGTGAATGCTAAGAAAGAAAGAGAGAGCTCCTAGATTTTTTACTGCAAAGTCTCAGCTAAAGTGCTGAAGTAGATCAGCTATTGCATTAGAAGAGTTACTCACCACCAAAATATCATCAACATAAATTAAAATGAGCATAGTAATAGAGGACTGATGTAGATAAAATAAAGAGGTGTCAACATTTGATCCTGTAAAACCAAGCTCTAGGAGACTTTGAGAGAGGCACCTGAACCAAGCCCTTGGTGCCTATTTTAGGTCATAAAGGGACTTGAGGAGTCTGCAAACATGTGATGGGAACTCATTGTGTTCAAAACCTTTAGGTTGCTCTATATAGATTTCTTCCTCAAGGTGTCCATGCAAAAATGCATTAGAAATGTCTAGTTGCTATATGATCGAACCATGATGAACAGCCAAGGCAAGCACCAATCGACTGGTGGCAGGCTTTATAACTAGACTGAAAGTCTCATGAAAGTCCACTCCATGCTCTTGATCAAACCCGTTGGCTACAAGTCTTGCTTTGTACCTTTCAATGGTGCCATCAGCCTTTTGTTTGAGTTTAAATACCCATTTATTTCGAATGATGTGTTTATTTGGAGGTCTAGGACATAAGGTCCAAGTGTTGTTATCAATGAAAGCATTGAACTCAAGTTGCATGTATGCCTGCCAATTGGGATCCTTGGTAGCTTGTCTATAGGTTTTTGGTTCAGAGGGAAGTAGAACTGAAGATAGGGCTTGGATTGGGTATCTGGTGGAGCAGTAAAATTAGGAAATTGTTTTGGCTTGAGTGAGTTGGTGTGAGATCTGGTGATTATTTGTCTCAGGTGGGAGTTATGAAATGCAGGTGAACTGGAATCTGGAGCTGGGTTATTGGTAGAAGAGAAATCTGCAAAAGCTTCATCAAAAGGTGAGTGAAAAAAAGAATTAATTCAACTAGAGGGAGAGGAGGGCATACCTATTGTGATGGCAATAGCAGAGTCTAATGAGATATCTTCCAAGGGTCGAGCAGCAACAGTGAAGTTTGGAATGGAGAGATGAGGAATGGTATTTTCTGGTGGAGTAACATCTGATTTGGAGTTGGAAGAGGCTTGAACAGCAGCAAATGTATTTTCATCAAAGACTACATGTCGAGAGATATAAATATGACCAGTTTGAATATCCAAACATCTTTAGCCTTTTTGGTTAGTTGCATAACCAATGAAAATGAATTTTTTTTTTTTTTTGCTTCTACAAGAAAGCTTGTGTGCAGAGTATGATCGAAGTAAGGGAAAACAGGCACATCCAAAAGTTTGTAGTAAAGTGTAATCTGGTTTGGTCTGAAACAAGTGAGTAAGGGGATTGATGGCCAAGGACAGGTGTGGGCATTCAGTTTATAAGGTAAGTGGCTGTGAGGAAGGCACCAACCCAATGTGTGGATGGTAAGTGAGATTGTGCTAAGAGAGCTAGAGCTATTTCGGTTAAATGGCAATGTTTCCTTTCTTAGATGCCATTTTGTTCAGATGTATAGGGGCATGTTAGTCTGTGTAGGATCCTTTGTTCTTGTAAGAATTTTTTGAATGAATTGGATAGATATTCTCCTCCATTATCGGTTTGAAGTTGCTTGATTTTATAGGAGAATAGATTTTCAACTAGACATTTAAACTTCAGGAAACACACAACCACATCCGATTTTTGTTTAAGAGGAAACAACCAAGAGAACCGAGAATAATCATCAATAAAAACCATAGTATTTACAGCCACTGAATGACAATACAGGAAAAGTCCATACATCATAATGAATTAATTCTAAAGGGTGACTAGAGTGATGATTAGAGAGGGGATATGGAAGTTTATGGCTTTTAGCTATTTGACAACATTCACAAATGTGCTTCAGTTTTTGTGAGCCTAATATAGAGATGAGAGCATCATAAGTGAGCTGGTTAAGAACTAATTCTGATGGATGACCCAATCGAGCATGCCAAGTGGTAGCAGGGGCTATGACACCTAGGAAAGCTATAAAGGAAGAATTTGAGGCTAAGTTGTGCTGCCTCTTATTGGAATTGAAAGACTGAAAATAAACTGGGTGGAGTCCTACTCTACTCAGACCTTGGAAGAGTATCTTGTTAGTCTGCAGTTCCTTCACAACAAAAGAGGTAGCAGTGAGTATAAAATAGCAATTGTTATCTTGACAAAGCTGTTGAATGGATAACAGGTTAGATGAAGCTCGAGGACAATGTAAAACCTTTGACAAAAGTAGAGAACTATTTTTAGTTTTTAGAATAGAAGAACCGATGTGATTGATAAGCAAACCTCCCCCATTGCCAACTGTGACTTGGGTTGGACCTTGATATGATTACTGGTTCAAGGTGAGATTGTTGAGGGCTAAGGTGACATTAGTGTTGGCACCACTGTCAAGTAACCAAGGCTGATCTTCCTCCTGAGTAACATGTGTATGAGCAGCCATCGCAGCCAATTGTGCAGGTGGATGTCTTCCTTGGTAATAAAAGTCCATCTGGTGGTAACAGTCCAAAGCTTGATGATTTGTTTTCCCACAAATCTGACAGGGAGGTTTGGAGTGAGAGAAGAAGGTGCTGTTTGAGGTGTTTGGTCCTTTTTCCTATTGGTGGAACAGAGAAGTTGGGGTTATTGGGTGGATGAGCAGAGAAGTTAATTTGAGGTGTTTGAGGAGTATGGTCCAATGGGTTTGTTGGCAGAAAAAGGCTTTGGTTTGCGATTGTTATAGGGTGGCTTATGTTTATGATTAAAAAAGGCAACATTGTGGGTATCTGGTGGGATAGATTTGTGTTGGGACTTAAGTAGTTGTTCATAATTCAGCAACTCAGTTTGAAAATCATCAAAGGTGATTGATGAGTCTCAAGTTGCAAAATTAAGGGAGGTAATGAATGGGTGATAAGCAGGATTAAGACCACCAACAACATAAGATATCAGGTCCTCATCATCAACAGTTTTTCCCACGGCTGCAAGTTGGTCAGACCAATTTTTGGCACTAAGGAGATAGTCAGTACATGACTTAGCTCCTTGATTAAGTGTCTACAATTGTCTCTTAAGATGAGAGATTCGAGATCTAGAATTAGGTCCAAACCTGTTTGCTAGAGTGGTCTAGACCTGTCGAGAGGTATTTTGCCCATAGACAATAGACAAGACCTTCTCGGTGAGAGTGGCATTGATCCATGCCAAAATAAATTGGTTCTTTTTCTGCCATACCATATAATCAGTGGTGATGTCAGAGGTAGTTTTGCCTTTACAATTAGTGGCAAACTTTGGAGGACATGGCTTAGAGCCATCCACAATGCCAAGTAAATCATGGCTTCTTAGGAGTGGAGTGAATTGAGTGGTCCAATTAAGATAATTGGATCCATCTAATTTGACAGAAACTAAGGGAGTGATATTGAGAAAAAGGAAGGTAGCGGAAGCCATTAGGATCGAGAATGTTGTTAGCCAAATGAAGCTCTGATACCAAGTTTAAATATTGAAAGTCTGGTTCAATTGACACCAAATGAGAAGATCTTATTGAATATATATAGAGCTTTACACGTTTGAATGAATTTCAAATATACAGTATAACAACCTTGCATAACAGAATGATAAGATCAAATAACAGAAAGATAAGACTACATGTAACAAAAAGATAACAATTTCAAATAATTCAAAATGCTATCTCTTAGCTGATTCAGATGAGATGCAATCTTCCTCTTTAGTTATCTCACTCGGAATAGAATCTATATGGTTAACTGTAATCAATTGAACTCTCAACTCAGGATAGAACTTCTCAGCTTGGCTCTAATGTCTGGGATCCTTCCCTATTGCCCATACATTTACCAAAACTTTAGTCTTGGCAGGTATTTCATATCCGAAAAGCTCACAGCTTTTCCTACATTCCCCTAGAAGCAAGGGACCAGCAGGGTGTAATCTCGTAACTTCTTTGATTACAGCCTTCAAATATTTTAATTCATGAAGGCCTTCTTCAGCAACTGTTCCTTTCATACCGAAGACAGTCCACGCCTCTGCTTGTGCTTTTGCCATGACACTTGGATTTTTAATCAACTCTGACATTGCCCATTCTGCAGTTGTAGATGTTGGACCGCTCCCGGCAATAAAAATGTCCTACAATAATAGGGCTAAAAAACTTAGTTAAACTATTAATCATTAATTTCCCATGATGTACAAATATAGTTAATTATAATTCAGAAAGTTGTGTGATTAAAAGCATTAAAAAAAACTAAAATATATATAAATTGTTTATTCTACAAAAAAATAAAAAAAAGTTTGATAATATATTGACATATATTAGTCCGGACGTCCTATATTAATTTTATCAAGAGAGTGAGTATAGGTAAAGGGTAGAACCATGCCTATTCTAGAAAGTTGGAATCTGGAATTCTCAGGTCCGGTTCTGATTCTTACAGTGCTAGAATTGGGAACTGGAACCGAGGTCCGAGTACCCAAGTAGGACTTGGAACTGAATTATAATTTTTGTAAATTTTTTGGTGTAGTTGAATCTTTTTTTAAAGTAGGGGGTAATTGAAATTAACCTAGGTACCTGAAACCAAAACCTATGTTTCAGGTTCTGGTTCCAAGTTTCTAGGAACCAGAACCGAAAGCGGCCGGTTTTGGTTCTAGTTCCAAATCTTAGGAATTGATCAGTTCCAGTTTTGATTCCGATTCCGGTTGCTTCAAAAAGTGTAGGATGCCTAGAAACGCTCACCCCTAAATTGCTGATACATTCTTCTCATTGGACTGTGATTATATTTTATAGCTAGAGGTGGAACAAATGGGCTAGGTTAGGTGGGTCAACCCTAACTCGGCCCGTAATGAAGAGGGTTCAACTTGCCAGCAACCCCCGGGCAGGCCGGGTTGCAGAATGGCAACCCGGCAGCCCGTGGGTTGCTATTTTGTCCTCTCTGCAGGAGGACCACCAACCTGGCGGGTTGCATGCGGGTTGGCCGAAAAATAAATTAAAAAAAAATTTAATTAATTTATTTTTTAAAATTATCCTTTTACCCTTGAAATATAGTCGTTGGAAGGGTCTTTTTCGTCATTTTCTTTCCCCATTTTTTTTCTATAAATTGGCCCTAAACTCTCATATTTTTCTCACAACTCAAATTCTCTCATTCTCTCATATTCTCTAATCTCTATTATCTCAATTATTCATTTATTCTCTTAATCTTTTTGTTATCAATTTGCTCTTATTTTAATTTTTATTAGTTTTTGCAATTTTCAATTCATATTTCCAATTTTCCAAATTCCAATTTCCATATTCCAATTCTCTTTCTTTAATTTTTATCTCTTCTACATCAATTTTTTTTTCAACTACAATGGATAGATATTTCTCTCCCATCAATTTCAATGATGAAGAAAACTACTATCCTAGTCCTAGTCCCACTGATTTTACTATGAATGCAGGAGATTCAAATAATCCTGCTGTCCCAATCCCAGTCTCAGAATCCGATACACCTCAAAATATGCCGTCGATTCCAACAGCTCCCGGTGGTTCTAGAAGTCGTCCTCGTAATAGTCGTCCTCGTCCAACTTCATCTCAAGCTGAGGCGGGATCATCAACTGCCGTCGAAAGCGAAAACAGACACACATCAGACGTTTGGGCGCATTTCGACAAGTTTTACGAGACAGAAAATGGCGTTCAAGTCAAGAAAGCAAGATGCAAATATTGTGCAAATGTTTATAAAGCTGATTCAGGTAATGGTACTAGTACTTTAAAAAGGCATGCTAATAAACATATTAATCAACATGGAAATAGAGAAAGCAATCAAACTCAAATAACTAATATGGGTACTACTTGGCGTTATAATTCTGATGTATATAGGGAACAGTTAGCTTTATATATTGCTGCATCTGATCAACCTATTAATATGGCAGAAGATAAATATTTTGAAAGATTTGTTCAAAATTCATTTTTTCCAGGATTTAAAAGTTATTCTAAAACTGCAACTAGAAATGATTTAATAAAATTGTTTAAAAAAATGAAATTAGAATTAAAAAATAAATTTCATACTTGTCATATTAGTGTGGCTCTAACTGCTGATATTTGGAGTGGTAGAGCTAAACAAGATTATATTTGTGTGACTAGTCATTATTTTGATAATGAATTTAAATTAAATAAATCTTTATTAGGATTTAGATTAATGGATGTGGATCATAGTGGTTTAGAAATCTATAATAAAATTATTGAAGTTTTAGAAGATTATGATATTATTGATAAAGTGATAAGTTTAACTTTAGATAATGCAAGTTCTAATAGTAAAGCTATAGAATTTTTTCAAAATAATTATCTTTTATATAATAATTTGAAGTTTTTTCACCAACGTTGTGCATGTCATGTTATTAATTTAATTGTGAAAAGTGGTATGAAAACAATTAAAAAAAATATTGATAGAATTAGGGAATCTTTAGCTTGGATTACTGGTAGTAATAAAAGAAATGCTGAATTTCAAGAAGCTTGTATAAAATCAAATATGTCTCCTAGAACTTTTGCATTAGATATGCCTGTTAGATGGAATAGTACTTATTTAATGCTTGATTCATGTTTACCTTATGCTAATATAATTAGTTATTTTGTAGCAAATAATAGAGGTCCTCATCATTTGGTAGAAAATGATTGGAAGATAGCTAAAGTATTTCATTCTTTTCTCAAATGTTTTTACCAAGCCACTTTACAACTTTCTGGTGTGTATTACCCTACTAGTCCATTGGTAATACATGCAATTATAAAAATTTCCGAGTTATTTACAAAAAACAAAGATGATGAAATTTTACATGCACCAATAAAGGCAATGGAAAATTTTTTTTTGAAATATTGGAGACCCGTTCCTTTTCTTTATTGTTTAGGTGCTATATTTGATCCTAGAATTAAATTAGCACGTTTAGAAAATGGTCTTGACAATTTAAGTGAAAATTTACAAAACGAATCATATATCAATCAAATAGGAGAGGTAAAAAATAGTCTTTTCGAAGTATATTTCCAATATGAAAACAGGTATGGGAACCCGCAGTCGCAAAGAGGCGAAATATCCAGAGAAGCTGTAGCAGAAGAAACAAATGAAGACTTATTCTCTTGGAATGCACTGAATAGGCCGAAGAGGACCCGAGTCCGAAGCACAGCCTCCTCTTCAGACGCACCACCACCAACAACAACAACAACTAATATGCTGTCCTCCATGGAGTCGCAGAGTAATGAACTTCAACAATATTTGGCAACCCCCGAAATGTTTTCAACAGGTCACTTTGATCTCTTAGAGTATTGGAGAGCCAGAAAATGTATTTTTCCGGTATTATCAAGACTTGCCTTGGATGTTTTCGCTGTTCCTGTCTCAACCGTCTCATCCGAACAAACATTTAGTGCAAGTGGAAGGATTTTAAATGAAAGGAGGACTAAACTTGCTCCAAAAATGATTGAAGTCCTCACATGTCTTCGAGATTGGGAACGATCGCGCCATCAAGATCAATACGAGGTTATCGACAATGCTTTAGTAGAATCATTTCAATTTTGTAATATAGATGATACAGATGAGGGAGGTCCTAGTGAACCACCCCCAATTTAGTTGTTTTGTAAAATGTAATTTGTAAATTAATTGTCAATTATTGCACTCTTTTTTCTTTACCAAGTTTTTCTCCCATTGGGTTTTTCTTGGTGAGGTTTTTAACGAGGCAATAATTGTTGTAATTTCTTATTTTATTTTTTGATAAATGAATAAGTCTAATTTTTCTTATATTACAATTTTATTGTATTAAAATTAAATTAATATTTGAAATGTTAACAAAAAAAAAAAAATTGAATTGAATTGAATTATTGATATTTGAAAAGTTAACTAAAAACATTTATTTGAAAAGTTAAATTAAAAAAAAAAAAAACAAAAAAATAAGAAAATCAGGCTAACCCGGCCCTGCCCGGCCCGCCGCTAACCCGGCGGGTTAGGGTTGGTGGGCCGGGCCGGGCCAACCATTTTCTCCATAATGGCGGGCCTAACCCGGCCTGCCTTTGTTGGCGGGCGGGTTAGGCCTGACCGGCCAAACAACGTAACCCACCGCGGGCCAGGCCGGGCGGGTCAATTTTCCACCTCTATTTATAGCTTAGATCCAACAGTATACATGTATAGTCCTAACAAAATTAACTATAAAATTATCGTATACACATAAAGAAAAGAACTTGTACAAAATCTGATATGAAAAGAAGATAGACACTAACCATGAGAACGGCTTTGATGTTGTCGTTACTTAAAGAAAGTCCAAGGTCTCCATGCTTCTGCAAATTCAAAAGAATGTCTAACAAATCTTTACGATCATCGTCAACCTCTTCACTCTCATCCTCTTAGTTCCTGCCTTTCTGCTTTTACGCTCATTGATCATACTATCAAACATTCCATCAATTGTGTGATGAATCTTCTCAAGTTTGCTCTTCACCCCACTGATAGAGTCAACAAATTTGAAGGAAGGAAACATATTGGTTGCATTGAAACCTCCACCTAACTCTATTAATGCTTCTTCAATAGCACCTAAGAACTCCTCTTTATCTTTCACTTTTCCACCAAACACCGCTCTCATTGTTATGTCAAGCGTCATTGAAAAAATTTCCTTGCTAATATTGATCATGCCTCCTGCTCTTGAAGAACACAAACGAACGGGGTTTGATACCTCCTCTGTTGGAGTCCCATATCGACTAGGCACGCTCAAGTCTATTAGGTTATAAGAGGGGGTAATCCTGCTATTCAACAAGGCCTTATTAGGTGAGGAGTCAGCCCACCTCAAATTCTATCATAGTATCAGAGTCCAGGTTCAGTTGAGATGAGCGTTTGACCAGTGGATGTGGAGTTAGAGCCAACAATTACCTCCATCAATAGGCATGACTCAACATATGGGCTTAACCGTGAAGGAGAGTGTTGTAGTCCCACATCGACTAGGCACGCTCAAGCCTATTGGGTTATAAGAGGTGGTAATCCTCCCATTCGACAAGGCCTTATTGGGTGAAAAGTCAGGCCCACCTCAAATTCGATCATCCTCTTCCCCTATTGTTCTAAAAGATTACACAAATTTGGGAGATAGGAGCTGAGTTACTCACATCTTTCGTAGCTGTTGCCAGTAGTTTCCATGGGGCGAAAACATGATGTCTTTGCAACCATAACTTCAAATATCTGCAGCAAGAACAATAGGCCTTTGAGAGAAGTTAATATCATTAGTTTTAAGCACTTCTCGAGCAGCTTCAGGTGAAGAAATAACAACAGTTGGAATTTGGCCGAGTTGTAAGTGCATAACCGGACCATACTTATTTGCCAAGTCTCTTAGCCTACGATGGGGCGAAGAGCCAATCAATTGCTGAATGTTTCCCATAAGTGGCAGCTTCCATGGCCCTGGTGGTAATCTTAAACTTGATTTCTTGGTTCTAAAATCCATGAATGCAAGGAAGGTGAAGAAGATGAAGATGGTAAATAGGATCAAACAATAGGGAATTTGGAGTTCCATGAGAGTTGGGAGAAGATGATTAACGTAGAGATAGATAGGTTTCTCAACTGAATTAATTTGCATCTGTAGGGTCTTAACGTTGGAATTGGGAGTGCCCAAAAACAGCAGTGAACTACAAAGAGAAAACTAAACTCGTACTTTTATTAATTTGAATGACTCAAATGGTTGTCAAATCACGTATCGTATCATGTATTAAAAACCTAATTTTTGAATCGTATATCACATATCGTATAATAGGAGACACCTTTTTAAAAAAATAATAATAATAAAGAATTTCTCAAAATTAATATCATTCTCAAAATTAATTAACGAATTTTGTGATATTATTGACTTTAAATTATGATATTACATAATCAAAATAAATCACAAAATTAAGAATCTATATTATTTCCTTTCAACCATTCATATCATTTTCAAGATCGATGTCAATATCTAAATTTCCATTTGTGTTATTATTATCATGCAAAATGAGCAACACAACTTTCTCTTCACTTTCTCCATGTAAAATAGGTAAATTTGAGATGATTTTAGTTAACTGGGTTGGGTGACCCAGATCCAACTCGAAATTTTTTTGGGCCTTCAGCCCAAATTAATAAAATTGTATCGATTTGTATCGATATTTTTAAGAATATAAACCAATACATATCGTATCGTATGATACATATCGTATCGTAAGATTTATATCATCATATCAAAAGGTTTAAGATACTCTCTGATACGCATTATTGGAGACTCGTATAGAATTATATCATAAGATACGTATCGCGTATCGTAGAATACTAATAACCATGTCACTCAATTATAGACATAACCTTCCACTCTTTTTATTGTAAAAGACTACAATAACAATCCTAATTAAAAACTACTTCCTATTTCAACATAAACTAAGAATAGGAAAACACAATATTCTCAAACTCTTATCCCTAAGGAAAGCAAATAATCTTAAACTTAAATTCCTAAAACTGGAAACAAACTAAAACTAAAACTCTTGAATTGCAAGTCACGTTCCATTTGCGGAGAAATTAATTAAAATATCATTTCAAGTTTGAAATGAATTAAATAAACAGAAAGTTTGAAACTTTTTACTAAATAATCATTCGCTAAGCTTAAGTGTTGAAGTTTATGGCTACTTAATTTATTTCAAAATAGTGTCATCAACGTCAAATCCTGCTCCCTCACGGATTAATATGAACAATTGCATAGACTTTGGACAAAGAAGTTGATTTATGAAATTTTTCTCAGCTTTTTCCAATAGCCTCCATGTGGTGAAAAGACAATGTCTGTGGAACCGTAAAGTACTACATATATGCAGCAAGGAGAAAAACACCATTTGAGCAAAGTTAAGATCAAGAGTTTTCATTACTTGATTAGCATATGTAAATGACATATAGAATCATATTTTGTTGTCCAGTCTCTTAGACTTTGATGAGGAAGAGACAGAAAGAAAAGGGTGAATGTTTTGAGGAAGACGATGCCCTGAGTTAATTTACATTATGCCCATCGAAGTTTATGGTGAAGAATCACTGAAGAAACAACAGTTTTTGACACCAAACCAAAGTTTTGATTTCATCAATCATCTGCGACTGCTAAAACTATAGGTCCAGATAATTTTCCACTAAACTCAAGGGCTGTGAGTGCAATTTCCCACATATTTTTAATTCACATCACAGGATTTTTAATCAATCAATCGGATGAAAGGTAATCTGCTCGTTTACACAGCTTAACTCCTACTTCAGAAACTAACCATGAGTTGCTAGTACCACTACTTAAGCAAAGAATTTTGTGTTGGTGATGAAATGAAGTCTGAACTTAAAATTTTACACTGAAAATACTTACACCAAAAAGAATATTTTTTTTCTAATTGTTTTTGCTAATATTTGCCCTCCCCTGCCTGTGGGGGTTACAAAATGTAAAGACCAGAACATTGTCCTAGTAAAAAGGTGAAAAATTGATGAAATCTCTAGTAGAGTTAGAATTATTTTCCATTCTCAACAATATCTGCAGCCTACATTTTTGTTTTCAACTCAGGGATTCTGGTGCTCTGCTTCTGAAACAGAGCTCTCTGCTTCTAAAACAGAGCTCCCACAGTCACTACCAAAAGTTACATAACTAAAAATGCATATTCTGGTAAACAAACAAGCAAATTACAGCAAACCATACCAAGAACACAGAGAAAATATGCCCATACAAATCTTATTTTATCATTGTAATTACATCAAAAGTACTACATATCATCATCATATATGATCCTCAAATTCTTCTGTTGGTAATAGGAGAACTTCAGTTCTCACTAAAAACCACAAACAAGCTACAAAAAGGAGCCCTCTATATAACATAATCAGACCATTCATTAATATGCGAAGTTTGATCCATTGTAAAACTAGGAATCTTATCAAGCCTAGTTGGATTCTCCCTCCCCCCAACCAATCTAGCCGGGTTACCAACAGCCGTAGTTCTCGACGGCACATCCTTTAACACAACCGAACCCGCCCCAATTTTTGCCCCCTCACCAATCCTAATGTTCCCCAAAATACAAGTCCCCGCGCCAATCAAAACCCCATCACCAATTTTCGGATGCCTGTCACCAGACGCCTTCCCAGTTCCCCCCAATGTAACATTATGCAAAATCGAAACATTGTCACCAATCACAGCCGTCTCTCCAATCACAACTCCAGTGGCGTGATCAAACAAAATCCCACTTCCCATTTTTGCTCCAGGATGAATATCAACTGCGAAAACTTCAGAAACCCGGTTATGTATCAACAAGGCCAAGACTTTTCGGCCCTGGGACCAAAGTTTATGCCCAATTCTATGCGCCTGACATGCGAGAAACCCTTTGAAATTCAACAAGCAATGCACATAACTTATGCAAGCGGGGTCTCTCTCTTTAACCGCTCTCAAATCAGCTTTGACAGCTCTAACGAGGGTTTCTTGATCCTCTACAAGAACGCCTATGAAAATATCAAACAACGTACCTTCAGGGAGACTTGAAATGCTCAGTTTAATGGACAGAAGATTCGCCAAAGCGCTTTCGAGTGATTTATGCGACAAAATTGAAGTGAAGTAGTAGTTTGACAAGATGGGCTCTTGCTCGACGTCTGATCTTGCTTCATCTAGCATTTTCAGCCATAGATCTTGATAATCACAATCCCGATTATCATGATTGTCAATAACCCGACGCGTGTGCATGGTTTTTGTGTGGTTCTTGTTGAAGGGTATGCAAGAAACACGATCAGAAAAACTTGGGCGACAGGTTTTGACATAGTCGTATGCATGGTCATCGTTTGTGGACCGGCCGTTTGGCTCCTGGGAAAGTTGAGAGGTGTCGATACAAGTAGCCATGGACACTGAGAATTTGTGTTTGGTGGTAGAACGTGGAGAAGAAAGGTGTGAAGAGAGGAGAGGTCTTAGGAGAGGGAAAGAAGGAGGAGTGTTATTATATAGGGGAAGGGAAAAGGGTCGAACAATGACCTGAAGTTGAACTTTCATGGGAACTGATATTTTCTTGGGAAAATTTTATCAAGTCGGTTTGTTAAATAAAAATAAAAAATAAAAAATAAAAAAAGATGCTTTTTTTTTTTTTTTTTGAGGCTTTTTTTTTTTTTATTGTACTTTGATTGTGTGGATTTTCTAGTTTGAAGATGAACTTGTCTGAAGGAAGCACATGATTTAAAGAGTTCAAAAGAAGGTTTGCCAAGTCTTCTCGTGGACCCTTCCAGACATGATTAATTGCTCTTTTTTTATTCTATTAATATTATTCCTTCCTTTATGGGGGATTAATTAAATAAAAATATTAAATATGGGCTAAAACTTTCTGACATACCCTTACTTTTAGTGCAATTATCAAATATCTTCTACAATTTGAAAACTATCATTGACCTCCCTTGTTTGTTTGTAGTAGAACACGTTGACCTATGTTGTAATATCGTTGGCCTCCGAAAGCTCCCTTAAAAGGGTAGGTTTGAGGTCAGATTAGCGATGAGTAAGCAAAATATGAAAGGAGGTAAGTAATAATTAAGCAAAATCTGAGGAGACATAGTCAAGAATTCAGAAAAATCTTAACAAAGGTCATCGAGAACTCAACATAATATTGATAGAGGTTTTAGATGTAATTAGCAATGGTTAGTTAAAATATTAGGGTGATTTGTAAATATTAAGCAAAATCGTCTTAAAAGTCAACAATATTTATAAGGGGAGGTGAGTGATAATTTTCGAACTATAAGGGGTGTGAAAAATCTCAAACAGACCTACGGTGGAGTTTGTAACTCTCAAAATAAATGAAATAATAAATAATCCTATAAAAATATGGTACTAAGTTTGATAATAATTAATTAGTGTTGATATTGCCCTTTTTCTTGATAATGTAACAACCACTAAGATTAAACAAAGATTATGAAATTATTAATTATAATCTTAATTAAAATATTGCATTATCATATATGCTTTCAACAAATCACTATTCAAGTCAAAAGGGCATCTTTCATTCCTAATTATTTATTGAGAAAACCTCATGCATAATACACTTAATATGCTAATAGTCATTCATTAGAATTAAGTCACCAAATTAAACACTAATTCATTAAGATAAATAAAATTACATTTAGGTTTTTTTTTTTTTCTTTGTTAACTAATGTGTTTAAATCAACTTACACGTATCTCAATTAATCCTCAAAAGAAACTATCGCACAACAACCCACTATCGTGACACCCTAACTCTTAAACACTTCAACAACTTTCAAAAAATATTGAAAACCCCCTTAGCATATGGGTTTTTTTTTATTTGTAAGGGATAATATTTTAAAAAAAGTTTTTGGTAATTTCATATGATAATTAACCTTACTTTTATTATATTCAAATTATTTATTTATATATGATATGCAATATCTTTTTCAAGATGAAATGAGCCCACGTAGTGGACCAAGTGCCATTTCTATAATTAACTTAATTTCACTATCAAACAATCAAATTGAGGCTTTTAATCAACAAATGGGTTTATACAAAAGCATCTTCCATGCCATTTAGGCAAATCATGTTGTAGCCAAATGCAACTTTAATGCTCTTTCTGATGTCCTCTATTGGTGTCACTTTGCATAAAACGTGTGTTTATCTGCATATGTTGCTCATTTTTATGGCCATAAATTGCTTATTAGATAACCCACTTTGGTTGACCCTTTAAGTCTCTATCATTGAATCAATGGAACTTTTATTTACATTTATAGAAGAAAGTTTTAGGTGAAGAAGCTTTTATCAATTTTATGAAAAATAACTTACACATAATATTCATAACATGTTATCTTCTTGACATGTCAATCAATCAAAACATGTTATGTATGTTTCTAAATTTTTCTCTATCTAAATGAAGTATATCTGTCCCATCAAAAATATTCTTATTATCACAACTGTGTAATGAATGCATTTTTTATATGTACCAATTTGGTTTGGATGAATATGTAGATCCTTATAGGTGATTAACACAGCATCCTACTGTCATGATCATTTGTTTAAATCTTATGAGCCAAAAGGATTCGAACCTAAGACCGTGCGCTTTAACTACACATCTCAACTCTCACTCTATCACTTAAGCTAGTCGAGAGTTGGTATATAGTAATTGCATATCAGAATAAGCAAAATTGCATAATTGAAGTGGGGCTTTCTCAAAATTTCAAGTTTCATATACAAAATTTCTTCAACTTGATATATATCCTTTGAAAAATTTAGTGACTTTAAATGAGTCAAGGCCAACTCATTCGTATTTCATATGTCCATTAAATATCCTTTCGTATGCAGTAAATTTTGAAATTAATGTCACCCCATTTTGAACGTTAGCTACCTTCAAAATTTTGACCTCTGGTTGGAGGGTCTTTTTTTTTTTTTTTTCCCCAAAATTTTAATAATTGATTTGACCATTCAACCTTGGTGGGGTAAATTTGAAGTTAAAATAACAGGACGTTGACGTTTGAGATGACGCGTCGCCACGAGAATGCTTGGCTGAGGTTGAAATCTTATCCTTAAATGGCTGCAAAATTGTTGGTAGTAGTTACTGTCACGTCACACAATTCAATGATCCCCGACCGTCTGATGTAAGCAATTACATCTTAGAAAGTGAGAACCGAATCTAACTATAGTAACGGCCCACTTTTGATGTATACTTTTTGTTCGCTTTCCAAAATTATAATAATTTTCAACCGTCCACTTGATTTTTTACAAAGTGGAAAACACTAAATTCTATTATTTAGCTTTAACATATTTAGGAATCTTGAGATGGTTTAAGAGTTTTTTTTTTTTTTTTTTTGAATAACCGGATTGTTTGAATCATTTTGTACGTATCTCAACTAATCTTTAGAATCTATTAAATACTCAATAAGCCCAATAAGTCAGGTAAATTACAAATTTGATAGATACCCATTTCATAGGACTTGAACACAAGACTTATGAGTAATCCACCTAGATGGTTAAAGTCTTGTCGTTCGACTACAAGGTTAGTGGTTTGGCTTAAAAGGTTTTGAAATCGAATTCTAACTTTTGAAAAATCGATTAAAATTCCTCAACGATACGAGAAAAAGTTGTTGAAAAAAAAAAGTAACAAATTTAAATATTTTCGCTTTTTTGGGCGAATGTTAAATCTCGGGTACAATCAAATAAATATTATCTCTTTTGAGTTTAGTCTTGTATGGATTTGCTTTCGACTCTACTCAAAAAACGTAGGTACTTCACTTGAGAACCCAACCATTATATAGTAAGGATTTGTTTTTGGGCTCCATCAGAGAAACATATTTGCATTTTAGGTTTTGCTTTTGGACTCCACTTGAGAACTTAAGCGTTATTTATTGAATCTTGATCCAATTAAGTAAATATTGTCTATTTTAAATCTAGACCCGTAAGAATTTGCTTTAGGGTTTCAAGCAAGACTCAAGCCCGCACGGATTTGCTTTTAAGTTTCAAACAAACGTCATTTATCCAAACGCATCTAATTAGTTAAGACAACTCAAATCTTATATACAAAATTTTATAGTCGATCATTGGCCAAATATAAGATGTGACAGTTAATGTGTTAATTAAATATCACAAAACATCTCTTGCGGTCATGCTCTAATCTTTGTATTTACAAGTGACATTGAACATAGAGCAAGAGGTGATTCATGAATCCAAATTCGGAGGCTGTAAAAAGAAAAGAAGAAAAGAAACAGAGAAAAGGGTGACTCAAAAGCTTTACTTTCAGTCACTAATGGCAGGAGAGGACCCTCAAGTCACAATCACCTTTCTGGGCTTTTTTCTCAACCAAGTGGTGACCCTTCAAAAGCCTCAACAGCACACTACCATCTATACCTCAACTTCTTAGCTTCTTAGGGGTCAATAAAAAATCTTTACAAAAGCAACTCTGATAATTTTTTGAAGATCTTTCTAATAATGTAGATAATAATATGAAAAGAAAAGTTGAGATATCACTTCTAAAAGATTTTATCCTACCAATCTTATATGAGAATTTTCTGTGTAAAAGTCATGCAATTTGAGGTAAGATATTTTCTTTAAACTAATCAACAGCAATATTATATTACTCATACTTTATTATGAGTGATTCTTGATAATGGAATTGGAATAAAGCTCAGGCAAAAGAGCTCTTCAAGTTTTGGAACTTTTCATGAGTATCATGACAATGTTGCCCACCAGAGAGTTGAAGGCTGAGTGCAGAATCAAGAAGCATCAGAATTCTTATGTATTGATTAAGTGCTGGTGGCCCAGATTGGCTTATCACTTGGTGGAGAAAGATTGGTGGTGTGGAGTTAGTTTTAATTCTCAACAGGGTCAAGCCCTGTGAGGCTTAAGAAGTTTAGGTTGCTTCAATGCAATCTGGGGAAGTTATGCACGAACTGGGAAATTTTAGTCTACTTGTGACAGTGTAAAGAATTAATGGAAATGATGGTATCGAAGAAGACACTCATGAATGAGAATTGAGAGGTAAAGTGAAAGTTGGTTGGTTCATCATCAATCAAGTTTGCATCATAAATGGTTTATGTGGAAGAAAAAAAATTATCTCAAGTAAAGTAATGGCGTCGGGACTACAGCTGACAGCTGATTTGAGGAGTACAGTGCATTCATAAGTAGAAGAAAGAGTGGGCATCTTAATTTGCTACATAAGTAATACTAGGTTCACAACCCAATCTCACAATCTTTATTCACAACTCTCAACGTGGTAATTTGTAATTGATCAACTCATAAAATAGGTCTCACCTACTTGTATGGGTCCCACTGTCCATTAGTAAGCTAATCAATGACGAACTGCCACATCAAAAGTTGTGAGAGAAGGTTATAAACCTAACATTATTATTTGCTACATTCACTATTGTCATCCAAGAGAAACACAAATGCTTAAACACAACCTCTTTCAACCTAGGGTCAAAAGTTACACTAAAACGTCTCCGTTTAGTAATAAATTAATAATACTATGCCTAACTAATATCCTAAATTTCTCATTCCAAGTAATAGGTTTTGCTATTGACATGTAAATGATGAACTGATATAACCAATGACTTGACAACACCATAGACGATAATGCATCATTTGGAAACAGAAATTTGGAAACTACTTGGTTATGCAACATACTCATAAAGTACATGAAATCCCAGTTAGAGATCCAGATATCATGGAGAAACTTCAAGAACGTTGCAAAAAATTTCAACTGTGGTACTATTGCATTCATAAAGAAAAAGTTGGCATTAAAATGAAAGCAAGAGAAGAAAAAGCAAATATCTCTTTCTATTACATGGTTAACAGGCAAATCTACAATTGATAGCTAACTGTGAAATGGAAATACATCAAAAATTATAGAAAATTCAAGAAGTTTACTTATGCTGCAGCACTGCTTCTTTAGAGCTTGACCTCTACATCAACTCCTGCAGGAAGATCGAGTTGCATCAAAGAATCGATAGTTTGAGCAGTTGGGTATAAAATATCAATAAGGCGTTGGTGAGTTCGGATCTCAAAATGGAATCTAGCATCCTTGTGTACATGTGGGGATTTGAGAACACAGTATATTCGCTTCTTGGTCGGTAATGGCACAGGACCCATGGTCTTTGCATTGGTAGTCCTTGCAGCATCCATTATCTGCTTGCAGGAGTCCTCAATTAGGGGCACCCAGTAAGACCTGAGTTTGATTCTGATCTTTTGCTTCGGTGCAATCTGAGAACAAAAGCATTTGGAAAATCATGAAATTTCTCCTTAACCAATGGTAGCAACGAAAATGACACAACGACCAGAGAAAATAGCCAAACATTTATGCCAAAGAAAACTCCAGGATCCATTGATTACTCCAAAAAGTTCCCTTTCCAGAATCAATGACTTATGAAATATTTGTTGATAGCAATCAGGTTGGAACTCCATAGATGGCCAAGAACTAGCAGTTGAAAACCAACTTTTGAAAAGAGATGATACCCATTTGGATGATTAAAACGTCATGATCTTTCATATTATGGAAGCCAAAGAAACTAATTAGGTGGAAAATTCACCAAGTTCTCATAAACATCAACTCAGTTTAGCATCTGCAAGGATTTCACAATGAACTGGAAAGAGGTGGCAACATAAAAGACGCAACATTGAGGGGGAAAAAATGAACATTATATACAGCACAAAACGTGTTTGCTTTCTAAATGAAAGCTTCTGGTACACCAATTAGTTGAATGAATTGTCTAGAATGCAGTTATCTACATGGAGTTTTCCAGATGCAAAGCCGCTAGTTGAACAAACCTAGCAAGGCAAAGGTACAACTTAAAGAGGCATCTTATATAGAAAGAAAGTTCAAGGATGTTTTGCCAACCTCAGATGGTGCCAATGACTGACATTATATTTAGACTGAATAAAAGGTGCATACAACAATTAGAACACTTTTCCAATAAGTCAATATGATAGGTTAGGTCACGTATAATCCTTAAGCAAGAAGTAAAATCTTTAACTAAGCTAAACAATCACAAAGAAAGATAGATTTAGAGAGAGCGAGAGAAGAAAAACAATTGTCATAGGTACATCTGAGCGTGTCACTGGTTATCTTTGCTTAACAGAATAATCTTTCACCGTTTTCAATTTCTTTATTTCTCTCAAAAACTATAGCATATGTTACTTTGAAAAATACCTTGTCTGCATCTGTGCTGACCGAGGGACTAAGTGCCTCAGAACCTTCAACCTAATGCACCCAAAATTAACATAAAAAACATTAGGGTCTGCATTTGCTCATCAATAAAATTCATCCATAAAACAAATCAAAAGTTAATTTCCTGAACCTCATATTTCATGTTGTTTTGGTTTTTAAAAAGATCAGCCCCATCAAGTAAAACAGACATATCGGGCTCAAACTTGATGGCGCAAGTTCTATTAATGCTCTTTTGCTACATCTCATTAGTCCTAAAAGAAAGCATTATGCCCAGTATATAAGAAATTTATGCAAACAATATGCACCATGTAGAAACAAAACAAAGTACATGAAACATAATATATAACATACTCAATCCACTGACCCAGTACATAATGAGCACAATCCAAATAATTTTACTTTACTTCAGATATTTTCTCAGCAGCCAAACAAAATCTTTCAACCGGACAAATAAGACCTCAATCCCCACAAGTCGAAACACTTACATCAGGCCCATATTTTCTTAGACACCAAACAAATCATTAACAAAGTACACTTAGAAACATCTACACTAACCGCTGGAGTTAAATTAGCTCCAATTGAGTCAAAAAAAGATATCAAAAGTTCCCATTTTTCCCACAATTTCCCGAAACCAATTCTTTCTAATCCCCCAATTTTCTCAGCAACCAAACAAAGCACACTTAAAAACATCCCCACTAACACATCTATAGTCAAAGCAACTTCAATTGAGCCAAAAAGTTTCCATTTTCCCACATTTTCCAGCAACCAAATCTTTTTCATTCCCCATAAACAAACAAAGCATAAACAAAGTAAACCCAAAAACACTTACACTAACCAATGTACTCTAATTATTTCCAATTGAACCCAAAAAAAAAAAAATTCCATTTTCCCCACATACTCAAGCAACCAAACCAAGCATTAACAACTACATATCTTACGAAAAAAAAAAAAAAAAACCAACAAAGACAAACCTCAGGAGATGAAGTTTCAGTTCCATCTAAGGTTTCAGGAGCAGCAAAGACCCTAGTTGATGCAGAAATCGAGGGCTGTACGGCAGTACTAAGCTTAAAGGTACTAACTTTAGAGGGTAAAGAACAAGAGAAAGAAGACAACTTTGGATTGGAAGAAATGGGTATTGTAAAAGAAGGTAATATTGTTGCAGAGATTGAATTCGTTGCCATTTTCAATCCAATCCTTCTCTGTTGTTTTCTTATGAAGAATTTGAAGAAGCTGTTCTTGCTTGCTCCCTTCGTCGTTTGTAGTCTTGAGTGTAGAATTATCCAATATTTTTTTTTTTTTTTTTTTTTTTTTACAAAAATTAATAATTTCAGCTCTGGTTTTGGGCCCAAAAATTTTCTTCAGGCCCAAATACATTTCCTTGGGCTGGGCTTCCTCTAATCACTTTCTCTAAACTTTATTTTATTTTTAACAATTGTTGTTTATTTATTTATTTCATAACTTAAATAAAATATTTTAAATGAATTAAATTTGGATTTTGACTCAAAAAAATTAAAAAAAAAATATGGAAACCATTATCATACGGACTTTAAAGAATAAAGATTGCCCATTATAGCACATTTTACATATTTTAATTAGCCAAAAAATTAAATATTTTTTTATAGCAAGTACAAATGCATAATCTAAGATTTGAAGTAATTATAATTTAATCATCCATGCAACTTAGAAAATAATAAAATCTTAAGCCTCAATTTTTCAATCTTCAGAGAAAAACAAAAGCAATAAACAAAATTATCCTATGGTGTCTTCATTATCTAAATAAAATAAATATAAATATAATTTACCTCTCAAATGAATGTAATTAGAAGACTAAAGGTTGTTTACTTTTTGAGTACAAAAATAAAATATGTTTAATGATTTATGGATTATTATAAGCTAATGTATTTATGTCAATGTTAAAATATTTTATAGGACAAAATCTAAGTATTTCCTTATCATAATCTTTGATTTCATTTATCCCCTAAAATATTAGTGTTTTCTAAGTATAGTTATGGGGTTTATCTCCCATCAAATCAAAGCATATATATATATATATATATATAAAACTATGGTGTTTGAGCCAGTAATTCAATTAATTCTCGAGGTCTATTGAACATTCTATAAGTGGTTACTTCGTGAGACTCGAACGCAAAACCTCTAGCTAATCCACCTAGATGACTAAAGTCTTGTTATCTGTCCACAAGGCTAGTGGTTTCAAAGCAACAATATTATTATTTTACAAGTTTATTATTGTAATATAACGATAAACTTGAAACATTTATGTAAACATAAAATTATAATTTAACAATAAATTTGTAACAATAAACAATGATGAATAAACTATTAATATCAAGTAACAAGAATGATGGTTTTTTTTATAAGTAACTTAGTGGATTAATCTTTAATTAATTGGTCAATTAGTTAATAGTTTATTTCCAAATAAACCATAGAGAGGTTGATTCAAATAAAATACCTTATTTTATCTTTATAAGGTAATCTTTAATGGAAAGTAGACTTATACATTATGTTCACTTTCATTTAATCTCTAATATGCATAATAGATGTAATGTGCGGGTAAGTTAACAAGTCCATTGTTGTGACATAATGATAAACTTTTACCTATAACAATAGATTTGTATTGCTTATCATGGGCGTTTGCGTTGACAGCCCGTGCATGGGTTCAACCCCCAAATTCGTAACGTATATGGTTATCAAATCATTTATTATATCATGTATCAAAAACTTAAGTTTTTTAATTGTGTATCGTATCGTATGATACGCCTTTTTCAAAAAAAAAAAAAATTCTAAAAATTAATATCATCCCTAAGATTAATTAATGAATTTTGTGGTATTATTAGCTTTAAATTATAATATTACATAATCAAAATTAATCACAAAATTAAGAATCTATATTATTTTCTTTCAACCGTCCATATCATTTCCAAGATCAATATCAATATCTATATCTCCACTTGTATTATTATTATCATGCAAAATGGGTAACACATTTTCCTCTTCACTTTCTTCATGCAAAATAGGTAAATTGGGGCAAGTTTTAGTGAATTAGGTTGGGTGACCCAGAACCAATCTGAAATTTTTTTGAGCCTTCAGCTCAAATTAATAAAGTCGTATCGATATTTTTAAGGATATGAATGGATGCATATCGTATCATAGGATATATATATTAATGTATCGAAAGGTTTAAGATACATTCTCTTATACGTATCATTGGTTACCCATATCGAATTGTACTATAGTATACTAATAATCATGTGCTCCACAACAGAGGCATCAAACCATGCTCGAATTTTCAGTAGCTTGCCCACAGATTGTTGCATTAGGTTGATTTAAAACTTCAAAACATGCATGGCCTCAGCCTATTAGCATCGTTTCCCATCAATAAATTGTTCAAATGTGAACAAAGTATATTCAACAATGGCTTCCCGCGAAGAAGCAAAACAAAAGTGGGTCTGAAATATGTGCAAATAATTAGAAAACAGGAAAAGGCAAAGAGAGAGAGGGCTTGAAAATAGAATAATAAAGAACATAAATATGAAGAATGCTATAAATATTTATAACCAAATCTCGATCAAATTCACGAGTCTAAAAGACTCAAAACCCGCGTAATGGGAACAAGTTCATGTGAATTTTTCTTAATCTCCACATGCAAGTTAGGCCTTGGAGTATTTTAAACATGTGATTAAAGTAATCTTAACTTAATTATTTAATCATCAAGTTTAATTAATCAAAACTCATGTAATTCTTCTCCTTCGTTTTGAATCTTCTTGGAAAGTTTGATCTTTTTCAGTTTTTTCTTCAGCTTTAAAAGAAGCAAAAAACCGCTGTCTTTCCTTTTAAATGTTTCTTTAACTTCTCATCCACGAACCACCACCTTCTTCATGATCACCACCCTCTTAACTTCTCCTTAATCACCTTTTTAATTATCTTTCATTTTCTTTCTTCTTCTGTATTTACTATGGTTTCTAATCTCCACAGTCTCCTCACTACGTTGGTTATTCTTCTTCTTGTTGTTGTCATTATTACTATTATTCTTCACCATGCAAGCGCTCCTGTATTTATTACTCTCATTTCTTTCACACCCTTTCACCTTCTACACTACTTGTAACTTCTCTTGTTTGCTGCTTCTTCTTCCATTTGGGGTGCTTTCACAATATTCATGGATTGTTTTTGCTTTGCAGAAAGTGTTTTTCTTGTTTCTGGTTTGATTTTTGTGGCCTTTCTGGCCGGTTTTCAAGTGGGTTTTTGTGATGAAAGCGTCAAGTTTATCTCTTGGGATGATATGAGAGTTGATATTCAACGAGGAGGGTTGAGTGTGGGAGAGAATTCCAATCACAGTAGAGTTATTGTGGTTGATAAAGATGGTGGAGGACATTCTGTAACAGTTCAAGGTGCCATAGATATGGTCCCTGACAACAATCCACAAAGAGTTAAAATCTACATTCTTCCAGGAATTTACAGGTATGCTTTTGTAAATTTTCAAACTTTTTAGTGGGTTACTTTTAGTGGGTTACTTATTATTAGCTACGTGGGTATTTGAGCAGTTACAGCCATCTTCTGGACTAATAACTGCTCAAACTTTTCATTTTTTTCAAGAAAGTTTTCGTTTTTTCATGAAGATTTCAGAAAACTTATGTGAGTTTAAGATTTTTGGTGCAGGGAAAAAATTACAGTGCCACCATCTAAACCTTTTATCTCCCTCATAGGGAATGAAAGTGAAGTCTCTGAAACTGTAATTTCTTGGGGAGATAAAGCATCAGATAAGGACAGTGATGGCAATGAATTAGGCACATATAACTCAGCTTCGGTGACCATTTTATCTGATTATTTTTGTGCCGCCGGGGTTACTTTTGAGGTAATTGAAAGTTTGAAACCATTGCCCAGTTAGCAACATTTTCTTTTGGGGTTTTGATTGATATTAATGCAAAGTTTTTGGTGGGTGTTTTTGACAGAATTCAGTTGTTGCAATTCCAGGAGAAAAAGGAATGCAAGCAGTAGCATTGAGAATTGGTGGTGATAAAGCAATGTTTTATAAAGTTAGAATCCTGGGGACTCAGGATACTCTCTTGGATGATATTGGATCCCATTACTTTTACCAATGTTACATTCAAGGCACTGTAGATTTCATATTTGGGAGGGCAAGATCTCTCTATCAGGTTCCTAATTCATTCTCAAATTTCGTTTCCTGGTCCAACATTTTATGTTTCTTCATTATTCCAGGACTTGAAAAAGGGTTGAATCTGAAATGTGCAGAATTCTGTGATTCATTCAATTGCAAGAAATTCCGGGGCAATTGCAGCCCACCACAGGGATTCACCAGATGAAAACACAGGCTTCTCTTTCATGAACTGTATAGTCAATGGAACAGGCAAAATCTACCTCGGAAGAGCCTGGGGAAGCTATTCAAGAATAGTGTATTCATATTCATTCCTCGACGATATCATAGTCCCCTCAGGATGGACTGACTGGAATGTTCCTGACAGGCAAAAGTAAAAACAACTTTTCTTTCAACTCTTCATTCTTTGGTTGATCAAATTGTTTAAGATTCAACTAACATAAACACAAACTTTGTGTCCGCAGGACTGCTGTATTTAGTGAATACCAATGTTGGGGAAAAGGCGCCAATACAAGCCAGAGGGTGCCATGGTTGAAGTCTTTCAGCTTTGGGGAAGTACAGCCTTACCTGAACATGACATTCATAGATGGAAATCAATGGCTAAGACTATAGTGTTCTTATTCTTCTTCCTCATTAAGCCCCTCAAATTCGTTATTCTTTTTACCTTCTCAATTCTTTGTCATCCTTAGCAAATTGGGGGTGGTTCATTGCATCATTTTAAAGCTAAAAATAGGCATAGAAAGTTTGGATAGTTCTTTAGGTCAATAGTTAATACTTTTTTATATGTTATAGCAGTTAGAAACAATCACTATTGTGGGGGTGTGTTTAAAGTTTAAACTGTACTTAACAGCCAATATAATCAAATGCAATATTACATGTTTTCTTTGAACTTTGACGTCTCTGTTTTGAGCTTGACCTTGATGTGTAACTGTCCACATCAACTCATTTATGAGTGCAGTGAAATTTTTTGCTTTCTAAAACTGTTCATTATTCTATTAATTATTTCTACATAGCGATTGTTGACCCCTCATTGATTCGTTAGTTTCGTGGCATTAGACTTAACATGTTCTAAATTCTGATTATTTCAATATATTTTATTAATAAAAAGACAAAAAAAAAAAAAAAATCGGTTAAAATAATGACACATTCAGGCATATGTGCTACAAGAGACAAAAATTTCACTTCAAAACCAACATTGGATTGTCTAACAGTGAAACACCTAAGGAGAATCTTACATGTTTCTAAACGTTTTTATAGTAAAAAAACAAAAAGATTGATTTAATATAATCTTCCAAGTTAGAATCCCCAACTGCTAATAGTAATGACACTCTTACCTGCAGTCCGTAATTTTAAGACCCCGAAAAATTAATTAAGATGTACATAAATTGACCCAGAAACCAAAAATTTCACTTCAGCATAAAAGAGCATGATCTGAGAAGAGTTTGAAGAAGTAAGACTGCATTAAAAATTTACTTGCTCACAAGAATACAGAGATAGTTATGAGTAATTCTGCCATTATGAGAATACATATTTGAAGTTACAAGGTACCCTTCAAGAGGCAGTGGTGTGAGTCAACAAGACACAGATTTTGACTCGATCAGAGGGCTTCTTACTGAAGGAATCTAATGCCAGACCCAATTCTAAATCAATCAGCTAAAACAGGATCCTAAAAAATTCTAATCTCATTACTGTACATCTACTAAGGCCACTAAGTCAAACAAAAAAAAAAATGACTTTCCACATTGCCAATGCCCACTATTTATAAACATCCTGACCACCAAGCTATAAACCCCATCAAACTAGACAACAATACACCTTAATCACCATTATTTAAGGCATTACTAACTTCTGTACTGCATTTCATGCTGGCACCTCCACGAGTTCCGTAGTTGTACGGTTATGGTCACAGTTCTTGAAATCCTCTGCATCTGACTTGCTTCCATTGTCTTCACTATCATCATCTGTCTCATCGCTATCTTTTACATCGTCGCATTGGACACCATGCACTTCATCACAATTCACATTTACATCATCACTGCATTCCCCGTCAACTTGTTCCTCTGATGCAGGCTTCTCCTCATTGAATCGGTCCATGTCTTCTCGAAGGTTATCACAACTGGCTAAAGTGCCTAATTTTGGTTTCTCCTCTTCAACAATATTGAGTTTAGCACTACTAGGAATATCAGTATATGAAACATCCAAACCATAAGGGTTTACATCCTTGGCAACAGTTGAGGACAAGGAAATTTTATTATCTGGGTTAATAACTGCAGATATCGCTGAAAGTATGTCAGGTTTTGCCTCAATATCAACCCACTGATACCCCACCCAATCTTTAGAAATTCTGATATCCTTTTTGTGCACGTTCAAGAAAAAGCTCTCCCCTAATACACCATGACAATTATGTTTCATAAAGGGCAAAGGTGGAAAATAAAAACAGAAGTAACAACAGTAAAACATAAACATACCTGGAAGATAAACTTGCAAATTGTCATTGCTACTGCTGTCAAATCCAGTTACAACCGCTTCCCACCAGCCATCACTCCACCATGCATCAACAGCAGCTCCAATATCAAGCGATAGGTCCACCTGATCATTAGGAGGGGCTGGTCGGATTGTTGGGCGGTCAGAGCACCTCATACCAAGTTTATCAGGCATAGCCACTTTGTACAATGGAACCCACTCCTACACAAAGGAAAATAAATCAAACTTTTGAAGAAAAGATTTCATGTTCATAAGTGTGCTAGGAGATACAAGACACTTTAGACAAATTCAAGCCAGAGCTGAACTGCATTGCAACTTCTTGTTGGAGAATGTAACTGTTTTATCATATATTTTGCCCAATTAAAGCTACCAGTATAACTCTATCATCTATGATCACCTAGCCTTAAGCATAGAGTTCACTAAGATGATAAAATATTGTCGTCAGTGCTCTCAAGTGACAAAGCATACCTCAAGATTGCCATATCCATCTTCATCCAGCAGATCATCATATTGAACTTTAATTTGTTTCCGGGATAGCTGCAAGACTACACACCTGAACCAGCAACCTCGAATGCCACTGTCTTGGCACAGCAACTCTATCTTTTCGTCAACCTTATACACTGGACTAGACCAAGGCTGACACTCAATATGCTTGAGGGAAACCAAACTTATGCCCGACAAACCATATTTCAAGTTCTTGTATGAAGGCTCATACCCCATCAGATTGTAACCCCTACCAGATCCAACTCCCAAATCATCCACCATTTGACTCCCCCTACCACGTCTTGTCCTCTTGGTTCCCAGCTTTACATTCTCACCAGGAGGCAGTTCATCTTCTTCCATGTCAGTCACCCGGAAGGGACTTGAGTTCAAGAGAGAGATAAGTGGTTGATTACAATAGCCATGCAATTTACTCATATCAAAGGGCTTCAATCTTTTGCTTCTAAACTGCCTAGTGCAAAAATGTATTCTGGCTAACAAAGCATTTGGAAATGCAGCCAAGCATTTCTCAAAATGGTCACGAGTTAAGACTGTGGCAGGACCATCAACACATTCTGCACTAATGACCTGTGCATGGGCAGTGATGAAAATTTCTTTTGGGTGAGGATTACGTAGAGACACAACACCTTTGACTTCCTGACTGTGGTGAAACCATCTCACTTTGACCTTTTTCTGTCCCCTCTTGTCTTCATACATATCTTCTAAATATGCAACATAGTGATTTTCTCCCTTAGCCATGACGAAGACAAAGGATTGAATCTGAATATCAGGAAAGAGAAGAAAACACGTGAGGGAGTAAAAGTTAAAATTGAAACACTAGAGTAGTTTTTAGATGCCTTTACGCTTAAAAGGGCAATAAGATTTACAGCATCAGGTAAACATAAGTTAGCTCTTAATGAAAACTCATCAATGCAAAATCAATTAATTGATCCCTTGAGGCTCACGAATAAACTCATCTTTTGTTGATGAGACAAAAACTAGATACCATTTTTTATAAAGCAGTTACTAAAGTTAGTCAAATAAATTCTAGCAAATGTATCACTTATTCCTGACTTGGCAATTACATTTCCATTTATTGAGATGAATATCCAAACTATGACATTTTAGGTTCCTCTGCAAAAGATCCATCAGCCCTCTCCTCTCATCATCACTTTTTTGGTACGTAGTAGAGGCCCTACTCACATTGAATTATCTCAAGGTTCCATAAAATGAAGCATTAACAGTATCATCTCAATTCTACTCACTCCATAAAATGTAACTTATAAGGTTTGTTATGCATGAGGGATTTTAAGGAAGTGACTTGTGAGTCCAGGGGCGGATGCTACTCTAGTTGAGGGTGGGCCCTCAAATTTAAAAAAAAAAAAAATATTAATATATACAATTTCTAGATTTGGGTCTACCCTAACAGAAATATTAATAGACAAAAATATTAATATGCAATTAGTTTTTATATTGGTCCACCCTAACAGAAATTTCTAAATCCGTCCCTGATCGGGACATTCACCTTATGCATTGTAAGTTTAAAATACCTTTGTGTTTCATTTCATTTAATTTGCAGATGCTTACCGCTATTGTAGTGCCATTCCTGCAGAAAGCGCGGTAATGTTTGAGCTGTTTGCCACATGTCCATGCATTGCCTGACCACACAATATCTGAATTTTGTCCATTCATATTCCTTAGACGACCCTGCCAAGGAGGTATCAGCTGAATATCAAAAGCTTTAATTATCAATGACTCAAAGAATATTAAAAGAAATATACCATCTCATCAGGTATTCGGATCTTTGGAGCACTGACTGCATTCTTCGGACGTTCGGGAGACCCTGACGCTTGTGCTGATTCATGTTTTGGTGATTCTGTCACGTAAAATAGTATTAAATGCATTAGGTTTCCAAAGACATATTCTGTTTATCAATTTACTATCAGGGCATTCTAGTTTAAGGTAGAAGCTATGATTCTGTAATAACATAATATTACAAATTTACTAATCCACAGTGAACGAATTTCAATTCATGAATCCAAAAAAGGGCTGATACATACTAGACTTATCTCCCTGAAGATGCTGCTTAGATAGCATAGATGTGAGCCAATCCACAACTTCTCTTCGCGACCTCCATTTGTAACCGGAGTGTATCGAATTCTCAGCACCATGAACTCTCACAAACTCCTCAGCCACAACATAGAACATATGCCTCACACTTCTTTCAGTGCCCACAACAGCAAGCACAGATTCCCCATTAGAACCCTTCAAAAAGTAGTGAACCACACGGTTCCCACGCTCCTGTGAAACAAACTCCTCTTTCCACTCCACAAAACATTGACCATTTACAGACATTTTGACACAAATCAACAAGAGCAGATTCACACAACCACCAGATACATACTTTAAACCCTAATTACATAGCTTAAAACACCCAAAACGGTCCAAAACCCAACTAACATTGCTTAACATGCCCCAAAACAAGAACCAAAATCCACACTCTAGCAACAATGAAAAACAAACTTGGCATATAATCAAAGAACAAAAAAGTAATTAACAGGTAACCCTATTACTCATAAGCCTCAAAGTCAAACTTACAGAATTCTGTAAAATAACAACTGAGAATTAGCAAAAACTGACCAGAACCCAGAGAAATCAAGGGTTTGAAGATCTGAAAGCAGATCAGAGACCAAGTCAAGAAAACTCAAGTCCAAGCTTGAAAGCCTGGAGAAACACCAAGATATGGCTTTGACTGAGTTAACTAAGAGAAACATTAAGAAACTGAAATGGGCATATCAGTTTTGACCAAAAGGCTCAAGCTTGATCACAAAGATTGAATTTTGTGAGGGTTTTTAGACACAACCAGAGTTGGTGAAAATGGGTTTCAAAGGTTTAACAAAAAGTTGAACACATGAGGGATTGTGAATGCTTTGCTCTGTGGCATGAAACCAAACATAGAGAAAAAGAAAATGAAGTGAGAGGAGGTGAAAGAAGGCAAAAAGAAGGCCTTTTCATGAGTAGTTTTGGAGAGTTGCAGAGGGCATGCAAGTGATGATGAAAGAGAAGTAGAGAAATGAATAAAAGGTAAAAACATGAATTTGATTTGTAAATTGTAATAATTAGATATAATTATTTGTTTACCAAAATTTCTGATACTGCACCTAACTTTTCCTAACAAATATTTTGGGCTTTTTGTTGAGCCCATGAACTATTACTCACTCTCATCTTATTGGGCTTTGGGCCCATTGGGTCATTACCCACCATCTTTGATTTCATTGTGACAATCTATCTTCTATTTGAATCATTTATTAATTTGATTTTAAATGTTTAAATTTTAAAGTCCGCAAATATATATATTTAGGGTAATACGATTTGTATAAACTCTGTGTATAAAGAGAGTTTATACAAACTTATATGGCACACCACTAAGCATGTAATATGACATTGGGATCCACATAATTTAATGTCATATTAATGTTACGCGGACCCTTATGTAATGTGACACTCATATGGTATGTCACGTAAGTTTGTACAAACTCTCTTTGTACAAATAGCATTATCATTTATTTTTTATTAATGAATTTTAACTCCAATTTCTAAAAAGAAAAGTGATAGTTGCCATGTCAACTTATAACTTTTACTTTTATAAGTTCATTTTGACCACTCAAAAAAATCACTTAAAATAGGTAACATAACTCATCAAATATTGAAAATTAAGTTTATTTTATTTTATCCCTATGAGATCTTATTCATTTCATATTAAAAAAAGTCTTATATTTTTTTAAAAAGATCTCAAAAAATATCAAATACTCTTTACAAAATGATCAAAAACCACTAATTTTATGGTCGAATGATAAGACTTTAACCTTTTAGATGAGTTATCTAGAGGTTTTGTGTTCGAACCCCACAAATTAGTCACCTATCACATTTGTAGCGTACCTAACCCATTGAGCTTATAGAATGTTCAATGAACCTTAAAGATTAGTTAAGATGGAACCAAGTTGGTCCGAACACCCCGATTATAAAAAAAAAGAATTATCGAAAACCCTTGACAAATGGGGGGATTAGTTGAGATGTGAACGACTCAAAAAAAAATTATCAAAAGTCTATTTAATAGTTTTTTAACGAATTAGGTGAGTTTAATTTGATTGATCTCACGTTGGAAAAATAAAATAAACACATTTCAATTAGAATATCAATTGTGATCAAATTTGAGTGATCAAATAGATAGTTTGACCATACAAAAGTATAAATATTGTTTATTTAATTTGTCTTATTATTTTATTACCATGATTTCTCTCCGTAGTCATGTGCCAAGTGAGCTTCCTTCTGAAGCTTCTTTATTTTATGTTTTTCATGTTCTAGAGTTGAAGCCAATGGCTTCATTTCCATAAATAAATGTATTCACTCAACCCAAACTTCAACTCTTCTGTCTTTCTAAACAATAAAAACCCTCATGGAAAACTACAATGCCGTGCTGATATCCTGGAGAAATGTGTAACCAGGGGCTATTAGGAAACATTGATATCCTGGAGACAGGAGCCTATTGGGAAACATTGATCTTCCATGTGAGCTTAATGGGTCCAACACAGAGTCCTGTTAAATCCCTTCAACAGAAAAATTCAATAGTTTGGAGATGGCAGAGAGGTCTCATCTTCCTCATGATATTATAAACTTGATTATCAGTGGTCTGTATTTTCTGGATCAGATACGTTTCCGGGCTGTTTGCAAGAATTGGGGAGAAGCTACAGAAATCCCAGTTGTCAAATACAATACTATGAGAAATTGCCATGGTTAATGGTCTGTGATTCGAGCTCATGTTACTTATTTGATCCTTCTCACAAAAACACTACGCTGTTTTTAACCATAGATATATTTTTGCTGGTGCAACTTTCCTGGATGCCAAACATGGTTGGGTCCTTTGCTACAAATGGATGGATTCAGATTCAGATTCAGAATCGAGATTCTTCTTATACACTCCATTTGCTACTACAGATTACCCGATTCAACTTTCGAAATATCCTTCACACTGTTATATCATGTAGCAGCAACATTCACTTCCTCTCCTGATTCTCCAGATTGTCTGATATTTGTAGTGTGTGTAGAAGCAGCACAGCATAGTATAGGATTATGTAAACCTGGAGATACAGAATGGTCCATGGTGCTTACATCTAATGAGCTTTCTTATCATGGTCCTGATTCAATTGTGGACATTGAATATGTCAAAGGAGTTTTCTACTGTGATATCAGTTTGCATTGGATTGGTGTGTTTAATGTTGCATCAAAAGAGTGGATAATATACCTTTATCCGCCATTCGCGAAAGAAGGCTTCCCTGTTAGGGATTTCTTGACTGTGTGATGGAGACCTCTTTCTTTCGCATCGCATTATGTCTGAATGTGTTTACAATGGCGGACATTCAATTTTAAGTTTGATTTCCCACAGATGAGTTGCTGTCAAGTTGAAACCTGGAATGATAAATCCCTGTTCTTAGGTTTTGCTTCAATGGCCATTCCAGTCCAAGAGGAAAGTGGATTAGCCAACACCTTACATATCCAAACCAGACATACTGCAATTCCTACAAGTCATCCACTATGCTCACAAATTTCAGAAATTTATTCCTGGATCTTCACTGGAGAGGGAATAAGAAAGTTCTGTGGAACCAACCAAGAGGACAATATCTTAATTAATTGTATATGTATGCTATTTTTTTAAAAGATTATATATATTTTGACCAAATTCATATATTTGGTCTAATTTTATGTACTCGTTTCAATACCTATGTGAATTGACAAAGAATTCCAATTATTTCTGTAGTATATCTAATCCAACTTTCATAATATATAACAATTTAAATCATTCAAGAGAGCTTAATTTTACATTATGATCAAAACAAGCAAGCTGCTGATATAACGGTTAGGATAAATAATCAGGAAATTTTAGGCATACCCTTCAAGCATATCATATCTTTCCTAGCAAATCAATATAGCATGGAGTCAAACCTACACAAACCAGCTCAGTTTAACCCAGTAGTCTTGATGAACAAAAATGCTTACAATAAAAAGGCCAATGGTTTCTTCAGCCTCATACATTGCTGTTGTCTTGTGTTGTTCTTCCATATTGCTTCGGTTGCAAAACGGCATAACTATATGCAGACTGCAAGTATCAGCTAAATGATCTTTACTCTGGCAACATCAAATTTTGTATCAGCTTTCTATGTTTACCTTAACTTCATCATCACCATTTTAAGAAAAACAATCCAGTGATATCCAAAATGTTTAATATATTAATTATGAACATGAAAGTAATAAAAACATAAGCTACTTGAGCCAGGTTAGTATGTAAGAGCTGAACTAAACCAGCAAAATCAAAAGATACTATCGAAATTTGAATGTTCAGGACCTTCAGAAGAAATGAATTCACGGGGAATGAGGATTGAACTTTCATGTGCCAAGATAAGGTGCTGGAGTTGCCATTGATGCACCATGTGAATATCTCCATTTATCACATGCTGAACATCGGTCCAACGTCAAACTGTTTTCCAGAGTACAGAACTTACAGGACCATGTTTTGTTCTCAGTGCCAAAACCTCTGGGCCTTGCTGTGGTACAAACTTCGCATATTGGGGCTAATGGCTGCAGCAATCCAGAATCATAAAACATGTGTAAGTAATTGTTGGAAGGGAGCTAAAAAAGATATAAGAGAAGCATTGTTACTACAAAAAAACAACATTTACTTTCTTGTCACTGAACAATGGCAACCCACTGAGAGACAGAAGCCAAACTGGAAATCGTCAAAGATACTAGGTAAATATTAGAAATTTTTTTAATTTAATGATTTCTACTTCCCATGGATTGATGATTAGATATTCATCTATATATCTAGAATGAGACTCTCACAGCTTTCAGAAAGTCAGTGTAATTCCATAAAGAATTATCATAACTGACATACTTACAGGATTCAATAAAGTGCATGCTTCACACTCCCACAAAGCAGTTTCTTCAAGACTACCAGCAGCTTCCCAGTTTTGCATAGATGCAGGAGTAGAAGCAGAGGATAGTTCCACAAAACCAGAATTTGAATTACAATTAGATTGAGAAGCTGAAGTGTTCTCTGATCTACAAACTTTAGGTGATCTGGCATCATGATTAAGCATTGACCTTGAAGTATCTGAACTTTGATCAACAAATTTGGAATTCGATTCACGACTTCTTTTTCGAGATACAGCATCCACAGCAAGTCCACTTGAACCACTAGAGTTCTTTGTGTTTCCTGTACTTTGCCCCATGTATACAATGTCTTCAGAGATATCAGAGCTACTTTCCACATCACCAGAAGACTGAGAGCCACACCAGATATCATCCTGTAACCTTCTTTCTGCCGCCATTGCAGCAGCTTGAATTGGACTGAGATCAGCCATAATGGAGCTGTCACCACCAAGACGTCTAGGTCCAGATGGTAGTAGAGACCCCAAACGAGCTCTCTTCTCAGCTGCGGTTAGTGCAGTTTGGCGAAGAGATGAAAGAGGAGGCTGACGAGAAAACCCACCCAAACGCCTCCCGGGAAGATCAAAACCCTCTCCTGTACCGCTTATTCCCTTCGATATCAACTCCTCACATTCCTGTATGTACCCAGATCAGGAAACACCAAATGAAATACAGAAAGTAATGCTTAATTGTAGAGAACAGCCTAAATGCAACAATTTGGACCAAGCTAAATGTCAATCTAATCATAGAAGAGAAATGAGGACAATATAATAATAGCTTTAACATAAAGGACCGTAAGCAACTAACATCTATCAAGCAAGGCAAAAATTGAAGCAACCTTTCTAAGTTCGTCCCAAAGCTTGTAGAAGTTGGCATTGTGAGGACCATGAACATTATGGCAAAGTTCATGAAGCATGGTATCTAGAACTTGTTCAAACGGGATGAAATCCAAGTCCCTATTTGGCCTCCGAAGCCTCAATTTCACATTAAACCCACATCCGACATTCACACCTAGAAGGCATGGATTCGTTGGACTGCAAAAATGTTTTTTATTCATTTATTCTCATCAATCCACACAAGAAGAAAAAAAAAATGCAGCTAGTACATAAAAAACGAAACACAGTATCAACTTAATACATCATTTGATTGCGAACTCATATTAGATACTGAAACCACAAACTACTATCTACTTCTAGCTTTGATAATCAGTTTTGAAAACAAAACCTTTAACATGAAAACAAAAATTTCTTCTTCGGTACACGAAATGAACTTAAATTAAAACTTCTGGTCATACCAAAACTACTACATTATTTTATTTCATCTTCTTAACAATTGAAAATATAATAAACTGAACCCTTTGCCACCAACCTATCACATTTTATAACACACTAAATTGTTAATCTAAAATCTCAATAAAATTCAAGCTATAAATTCCACAATTTCACATCTTTACTAACTTAAACCCCATAAAAAATAAAGGGTCATCATTTTTTCTCTTCCATTTCGTTTTCTCAACAACCAAACAGCAAATAAAATGCTTAACCCAAAAAAAAAAAAATCACAAAAAAAAAAAAACAATTACCAGAATTCTGAGAGAACTTTAACTCTCCACTTGTGCTTCCGCATAATGGGTTGCACTTGTTTGGCTATTCTCTCCAAAATCTTCTTCGCTTCTTCTTCTCCTGGTTTTCTTTTCAGCGTTTTAATTTCCCATACTTTATGAAGATCTCCCAAATTCATTTTTTTTTTTTTTTCAAATAAAAAAAAAATCGAAACTGGGATCGAATCTTGATCGATAAAACCCACAATTTCGATAAATCAAATGATGTTTTGGAGATTCATCGTAACATCATGGGGCACGATTCTAAGTTTTTAAACTTCGGTCTGGTTTTTTGTTTGGAAATTCGGGAGCGTGGCGGGATTTTGAGGATGGGTCACACGTGCGGAGCCAAATCCAATTAAAAATACGTTTTTACACCCTTTATATTTCAATATCACATTGTAGTCCCAAGAAGATCTAATACTAACACAATTACTCCTTGGGTTAAATTGTGTCAAAATTTATTTCGCGCAGAAAATGAAAATAGACATTTACTAATGGTTATTATGGTTAATGAAGAAAGACAAAATATTTACAGATAATTAGGTCGAGTTTGAGTCTAATAATGCTGAATTCGAGCTCGACATATTTTAATTTTATATCAATATTATATATATAAATTAATCGAGTTTGAGCTCAGATATTGAAGCTCGGTCGAGCTCAAGCTCGAGTGTGAGCTTCGACTAATCCAGCCAAGTCGAGTTCGAGCTTCGACTAATCCAGCCAAGTCGAGTTCGAGCTTCTCAATAGTAGATTCAGCTCGGTTCAATTGCAACCCTAAGAACAATGTTTTATATTCTACAAAGTCTTGGTCAAGTCTCTTTATTAATACTTACATGATCAAAGATTATTATTTTTTATTTTTTTAAATTGTAGAGATCGGTCAGGATTTTAATTTATAAATTATTTTATTATAAAAAGTAATATTAACTAATAGGAGAAATTACCTAACCATTAAGTAAGCCCTTAATTGTGGTTTATTTAACTTAATAAACCAAAGTTTAAAGCAATAAATTAAATATTATATTAGCAAATTACTTTTATTAGTATATGGAAAAGTGACCTTCCATGAAATTTCTAGCCAAACAACGCCCTACAAAAGCTCACAGGAGTAAGATCATAATTTGTCATTATTTAATTAAATAAATAAATAAAACAAAAAAAAATTATATTGGTCAAGTTTATTACAAAGTGAAGCACTTGTGACTGTTCATAAGATAAAAGCGCTTAAAAGACTGATCTTTTCTCTTTTCAGAGACAATAAGAGCAGAGAAACCGAAGGAGCCGATAAAATTTCATCTGGGTTGTGTTTATTTTTAGATTTAAACAACTAAATTCAATCCGTGTTTGATGCTTTAGAGTGTAAGAATGGCGGGAATAGCTATAGTATTAGATCTATGGAGGAAAAATCCAAGCTTTTGTTCACCTCAGACCGTTCACTCTTCTGGATTCCTCTCGGCCGCAGCTGCCGCCGCCTCTGCTGCCTCCGCTGCAGCCGCCGCACCTTTTGCCTCCCGCTTCTTGTTTGGGTACTCTATCTCTTGCCCACATGATATTTATTTATAAAAAAATTATGTCTTTGTGTATGCAATAGTGGCAGGTTTATATTGAGGTGAAATTAGGTTAATCTTGGCTGTTTTGGGTTGTTCGATTTGATTTGATGTGTCTAAAATGAGGGGTATTGATATGTGAGGTTTAGTGCGTCTAGTTATTGGTATTCTATGTTTAGGATATTTATAAACAAATTACATGTATTTTTATTTGTATGTGTATGTGTACGACTACTGTTTATCTGGTTGTGTATGCAATGGACTGGTGTATATTGAGGTGATTTTAGGTCAGACTTGGTTGTTTTGGGTTGGTTTGATGTGGTTTTAGTGATGGGTTTTGGCATATTTGAGGTTAAGTGAGTGTGGTTGTTGGTTTCGTAGATTTAGGTTATCTTGATTATCATATAAGTATTGTTGAATATTGAGATGGTAGATGTCAACTTGGTCTTGGTTATGGAATTTCATGAGCCGGATATTTCTTGTAGAGGTGTAACTTGGTATGTGAGTGTATGCAGATAGACGTTTCAGTTTCATGTTAAAAGTTGTGAGTTTTAACTGATATAGTTTGATATTTTGAATTAGTTGTTTTGGTTGTTTTTATGTGAGACTTCAGCTACAGTTGTCCTGTTTAAGGTTACATTGTAAATTGGCATTGTGTTATCATAGCTTACAATCAAGTAATCTTTGTAATTCCATTGTTGTAGCTTTTGGAAACAAGAGAAAATTAAGAATAAAAGAACTTAAGACTTTTGTTTCATTTTCCTTATTTTCTTACATAAACAAGAGAAGCATCACGATTCCCACAGAGATATTAACAAGAATACAGTTTGATGCTTATATGGCTTAATTAAAAGTTTTCTTTGTTTTAAATTTGAATGAGGAAATCTAGATTTGACACATGCGTATTTTAAGTGCTTGAAAAAAAAACAAAAGACTAATGAGGGGGGAGGTTGTTGGTGCTGTTTACAATTTCAAATTTTTTTGTCCAATAAATCATATTATAGCATTAATCAACTTTGTTTGATTTTATTCTTTTTATATTATCGTTTCAAATCAGTTATTTAGTTCTTTTCTTAGTTGATTAATGGTACATTTGCAAACTCAAATGTCCTCTAGCATTGTGTTCAATTATATTGACACTTCCTACTTGTGCTACAGTTCCCCCAAAATTCCAGTTGCATACTGTGATGCTGATGCTGCTATAACTGATGACTACATTTCTAATTTACGAAAAGTACCTGGAAATTTTTTTCAGCATGATGCTATTAAATATACTACCAAAGAGTATGACATCCAGTTAAAACCTCTTTTCTCTGCTTTTGAGTTGAGGGCATTTGCTATGACCTCCGTGAGGTCATTTTTAATGTACTATTTGCCGCTTTTGGAGCCCAATATGAACACAGAAGAGGATGATGACGACTTCCTGCAGGAATCTCAAGAAGAACATCATGTGGATCTGGTTGTTCCCTTTAAAAAATCAGTGAAGCAAATTGTCCGTGAGGTGAGTTGTAACGATCTTTCTCATTATCAGATTCATGATGACTAGAGCGTAGGCTATAATGAGATGCATTGAGTAGTCACCTTATATGTCTGTGGAAACTGCTGAAACTTTTGTTCTTTTATAAGTTGATAATGTTTCTAATTTGTTCTGAAATGGTTGATTTCGGCTTTCTGTACCATCTCAGACAACCGTTGTAACTACTAGACGGATTCTGGAAAGACTTGCTGTTCACTATGTTTCACAGCGGACAGCATGGAAACTTCTCAAAGGTACTTTCTTTCCATCACTATGTAAACATGTTTTTTGTTTTAAACCTAATGCTACAATAGAAGAGCAGCGGCAAGTTACTCGTTTACATTTAAAAGAGCTGATTATTAATTTTTACAATCTGCCGTGCTTTTTCATTAGATGTAACACAAACTAATGGGCTTGATTATTGTGTACAGATGCTCCTAAATCAGCAATGCGGAAGGCTGAAAGAGGACTGCCCACTTTTGTTTACTTTGTCAGAGTTAGCCGAACTACTTTAAAAGGTCAGATTCCTTTGGTTGTTGATCTTTCCAACGCACGCTTTCGTAACAATCTTTATATGCTAAAAACAGGGCACTTCTTGGGAGTTGCAGCATCATGGATTGTCCAAATTGGCATTGAAGTTTACCGGTCTATTTCTCGCATTGTGAAATCTGGCGAAGAAAGCGATAAGGTTAAGTCTCAAGAAGCAAAACTTCTCGGGAAAAAGGTTTCTGGTGTTACCATCAGGTGTGGTGCATCTCTAGTTTTTGCTTCCATTGGAGCAGGGATTGGTGCCACCATTATTCGCCCCTCAGTTGGTCAGTGGATAGGTAAGATCACCTGCCCTTACTTTTAGCTACATTATTAACAAATTAAACCTCTATAAATAACATCCAAATCCATGCAGAATTTAAGCTATGTCTAACTTTTACTGACTTCCTTTCTGCAGGCTGTGCTGTTGGTGATTTGGCCGGACCAATTATTGTAACATTTTGCCTTGACAAAGCTCTTCATGTGGACCTTTAAGAAGATAATTTGACGGAGACATTTCTTCCCCTGATTCTGATTTTACTGGTATACATATCTTTGAGGACATATTAAATGATATTACCTCTATCTATTTGGTAGTTGGTTTGATCAGGTTTTGAAGCAGAAGCTGCTTCTAAAGCCATTCATCAAAAGCTTCCCATTCTTGAGGTTATTATCATTTTCTTTATTGACTGATGAACTTCAAAATAATCTACCTTTTTCTCCCATTGATTCAAGTTGTCATAATTTATGAACCTATATTTATCCCATACTCAATTTATGTCAGTTTTTTTGGCCTAACAGTGGTAATCAATTTCCTCGTTTCGCTTGTTACATAAATGACTACTAAAGGATCCAGTTGTGCCAATATGAATCTTTTGATTTTCTCCCGTTGGCATGAAGTCTACCATGAAAAAGCTAGTTGAATGTGGCATTAGTTCTTAATTTTTTTGACACATTTTGATGAAAGGGCACCATGTTTTGAATGCATGTGATATTTACTCTCAAATTATTGATTAAATTCTGGATGTTAATGGTGAGAAACAGTAGCAGAAGAAGAAATGCTCACCATCTTTATACTGCCACAAAGTATACTATTCTTAAAGAAAAGGTACAAAATGGAAAACACTTTTAACAACTGTACAAATTCTATTCTACCTTTTGAACAAAATGGTATCTTAGAAATAACTTAAAGCTCTGATGAAAGCCTGCAACCAAGCCATCTTATTCACTAAAGAACACTCCAAAGGCAATAAATTTGATCTATTTAGCTGGGTCCATAAGAACTTTTAGGTGTCCCAAATCATCACAACAGCAATCACTCCAACTCCCAAGGACACAGCTAAGAACTTATAATAGGGTGTGTCAACCGAAATTGGCTTAAGAGGTGTATAACCTTTGGATAGCAGATGATTAATAGAGACATAAACGAAGACCCCACATGCCAAACCCATTGATATGGCAAAGATCCAATCTGCAACACGACCCTGAGTGGTGGCATCAATTACAATTCCAATGGCGACACCAACAGGACTAGAAATGGCAAATGCAAAAGCATAGACTACACATGACAACAAAGGGCGATTTGGAAGCATTCTTAGCAGAGCTATTCCCATGGCAATGGCTGCAAAAATCTTGTGCAAAGAGATTGTCCATAAAGCTTTCCATGCATCATCCGCATTTTCTGCCACTCCAATTGCTATGCCTTCAAAGACAGAGTGGAAACACAAAGCCACAATCAATAAAATGCTATCCCCTAGTGAACTTACGGCTCCAATTGAAAGCTTTGAATTCCGCACACGTCCATTTTGCTCAACAGCATCTGTAAACAACAGAAATGCAACTTTCTCAGTTAATAAACAATGCTTTCTCATCGGCCAAACAGGGAAATCAATCAAGAACACAAAACTCTTACCTTGATGTTCAACATCACCATTAGAACTCTCCTTCTTCTTCCCAAACAGATAAGAAATGATACAATCAGCCAACATGGTCAACAAATAACCAGCACAAGCCAACATAAAAGCAAAAGGGTATTCTTTACTAGTCAAATCCTGAAAAGTTTCATTTGCATCACTCAAAAAATGCATCATAGCAGTACCCAAAAACACACCCCCGGCAAACTCAGTCCCCAACACCAAAAACCCTTCATTCCATTTAAAAAAATAAGGTGAAACCCCACCAAGAAACGTCGCTACAAAAATAATAATCAAGCACCAAACTTTCACCAAAATCAAAGGCCTTGACTGCAGATTCTGGGTCTCAGCCTCAGCTCCTTCATCGTCATCGTCATCGCCATGTCCACTGTGAGCAGCGGCTAGAACAAGGAGAGAGACAAAGATTGTAAATGTTAACAAAGAGCGAGACATTGGTATTGCAGCCAAAAACAAATTTTTTTTAATAGAAAACAGGGCTATGAACTCGGGAGTTTGGAGGGTTCTTTGTTTGTACTACAAAGAGAGAGAGAAGTAGTACTACGTACAAAGATAAAAAGTGTAACCATTTAAGCTGTTAAAAAAAGTCTTCAAAGCGCTTACCGTGCCATGTCTAAATCAAAACAAAGTGAGAGAGAAGCAACGCCACATGTTTGTGCTATTGAGAATATTCAACCATTCACATTATGGAATCTTTATGACAATGGAAAATGAAAATATTGGTGTGACAGAGATATTATTTGAATCCATCCAATTAAAAAAAAAAAAACCTGACATTAATTTTAATCTATAAATAACTACTTGTTTTATTTTTACATAATTTTGAGTTAAAATAAAATTAGGTGAAATATACATTATATATATCTGATATACATGTAAATTTTCGATGAACCGATACATAAACGACGTGATATATTCCATATAAGAAATGATAATGAAGGTAAGGTATCAAATCAATAATCTTCATGGATTTCAGGTTTAGTTGGATGCCGATATTAGAGAGGAAAAATCAAGGACAGGAGGTTCAAGCCATCAACAAGAAGGGATAAGGAAAGTCCGAGGTGGGATCCAGTTGGAATTATTGGCTTTGAAGGCCGAAGACTTCATAATAACTCACACTCCAAGTCGTTGGCTGTTTGGACAGTGATGTATATCCAACTTAGATTTAGATCAAACAAAACTAGAAAAATGTTCCAAGGTAAATTGATATATCACACTTGTAATGATGTGACAACCATGTTATATTAAAGACTCTCAACATCCCATTAGAATTTAGAAGATAAACCCAATGTCATCAATTTTTTTTTTTTTAATCACCACGGACCATCTAATTTCTTACTTCAACTAATTTCTCGAAACTCTGAAACTATCAATCAGATAAAAACCCTAATAACCACCCTAAAGACTTAAACTCAAAAACTCATAAAACCTTCTTTTGTTCTTTTATCATTAAATCACCTAATTGTATACCACAATATCGTAACACAAGATTAATGAATACATGCTGCATATTTATTGCCAGGACACAGGATGAATGAATACATGATGTATATTTATTGTCAGGCCACCCAGTGGCAGTTTTGATTTTTGAACCCCAATATCATCAATTGTGAACCACTATTTACAATATCGTGACATAAGATTAATGAATACATGATGTATATTTATTGCCTTGGCATGATGTGCCCTAGCATATGATATATTTTTTTACTTTTTTGGATGAGAAAGAAAGCACCCAAAGTCAGAATTCAAAAGAAAAAACAGTGTAATAAGACAGTAAATAAGAGTTAAAACAAATTTAAAAGAGAAAGAACATTGTGGTACTGGCAAAACTTGATAACATAGCTGATAATTGACTTGTTCATCCTATTTCCTGCTGGTTAACTGCGCCTCACAACCAAATTATTATATTAATACTGGAAAACTATGACCACATAATAACCAAAATTCTGTATTTTCTTGACAAACAATATGACCACAGGGAAAAAATTATGATGTCAACAGCCCAATTCTCATCAGGCTTTTAAATGAGAATGTGAGAAAATGAATTCCATCAATTCATAAGTCAGTTCGCAGAAAATTGCATTGTCTTGCAGGGAAAAAGGCTTGACGAATTCTTGAATGATGCCTCTCATATTCATCTGCTTGGATTGGTCATCAAACATGCACATGAATCTCTTTTAAGTATATCTCCTGACTATCATTTACATAACTCTGTCCTTACCGTCGCCAGAAGCGACTTTGCTGCCTTTGTTCTTGCATCCGCCTGTGTCATTTAATAGTTTGATCAAATTTAAGTGTCATGCAGATAATCTCACTGTTTGATGTAACGCATTCACCTAATCATCACTTGCCTTACAGTTTCCTGATCTACAATATGCATACCACTAAGTGAGATTCAACAACCCATAAGACAATGAATAAACATTACCTCTGATAATCTTTGGAGCGTTCAAGGAACTCTTTTGCAATATCTTTTCTTTCATAAGATGATAGTACAGTTCTGATATCAGCTGGACTATTACGAGCAACATCTGCATGCCACTAGTATCACATTAATACAGGTATATACAATTAAAGCGGTAGAACAAAACAAAACTACTGTGAAATAGAGCAGAGCAACTTGAGGCTTTCTAGATGTACCCTGGAATAGGAACTTGCATATAAACAAAATCCAATATCACAAATGGAACAATTCAAGAATGAAAATATGCACATATTATGTGTACTAAAAATGATTCTCTCTCATAACTAATGTAGAAGACTCCAGCTTCATTAAAATGCCCCACAAAAAAATAAAAAAAATAAAAAATACGTGTGTTGTAAATGCGTCTAAACGAAATAGAAAACTTACATTCAAGGAATGGAATAAGATCCAAAAGTGCTGTATCCTCTGTCTCAAGCTTATATGGCTTAATTGGAACACAGTTTTCTGGCTGAAGGCTAGACTCGAATGCACGACCACTAACATATAAAATCTTAGCCGGATCTCTATTAAGTTTAGAAAGATCCTGCCAACAAGAAAAATATTGTATTAGAGACACTTGTCCAAATTATACAAGTAGCAGCTATAAAAATGGCATAAAAAATCTATTACACCTAAAAGGGGCTAAACTTAAAATATGTCAAAAACTATGGAATAACACAAAGAAAACAAAAAGTAAAATATCACTGGGTAAAACAATGTAAAGAAAGGGATAAATGCTAGCATACCCTATAATGCTTGCCATCTTGATACTTAGTAGCACCTCTTGATAGCCTATACCGTATGTAATGATTTTCCCCATCCAACTTGTCACAAACAGGATCAACATACTGTAGAAGCAAAAGAAAACGGTTTATAACACCAATCATTTAAGAGTATAACAAAAATGATAGTCATAAAGGTAAAAGAATCATACTTACCATACTCAGCTCATCAGAGTACACGACAATTTCATAGAACTTTGCCATATGTTCCAGGAAAGCATCAACTCCTGGTCGTTTGAATGTTCGCCAACCTCTGTCACGCTTTATATACCAAAGAGGTAGAAACATCACAAATGCAGAACAGTTAGAAATCAAATCATTCATGCTCATTGAAACATGACTAAGGCTGAGTCATTTTAATACAAAACTAATAGGCTGAACCAAACCAGACAATTTCTCAGTTTAATGCTATCCAACTTTACAATATTCATGCAACTAATTAAGCTGGTTCAGCTCCTCAGGTTACTGAACCAATCTATATATGGTATTTAGAAATCAATTTGAAAAACAGTAAATAACAATATATGGCGTCTTTACTATATGTAAGGTTATACAAAAAACAAAGTTAACTATGTTGGGTTTGTTCAGTTTCTATAGAACCTTGGTTCAAAATTTCTAGTTCCAAAATAATATGTAATCTATCCCAACTGACCTAAATAGGCATGTAAGAAAAATCATTGATTTTGCCACAATTACTTATGAGCATGTCAACCAATTTTAAGAGTCACTAAAGTTTCTGAAGCAAAATTAAGTAATAAATCAGAGGACCTCTTCACAATCAAATACTTACCTTCCAATCAGAGTAAAGCAATGTCTCCTTTAGATCTAGAACAAGTGTGAAAACATGCTGCTCTGCAGGATGTAAATCAGGAAGAAGCTTCTCATCGGTCGGTTCAGTAAAACCCTGTGCAAGATCAAGAACTTATGGTTCAAAACAAAGAACATTAATGAACGTAGTAAGCAATACAGGCAAATAAGATGTTATAAGATAAAAATATAGCACTCACTTTAACTTGTTCTTCCACTAGGGTCCTCAGATCGAGGTAAAGTTCAACTGCTTTAGCAGGAACTGAAATAGCAAAATAGGTTATTAGCATCAATAATGCAGTACAACAAAGAATTTGCAAAAATTGAACTCTCGCTGCTAGTAAGCAGTACAATGATTCCAGACACATTAATTAACAAGCCTAAAACAATGCCTCAGCCCCAAGTAAAACAACAACAAACTAGTACATTCAGGAAGACAACCAAAGCTTAGAGAGAATAGTGCACATTCATTACTTACAAACTTAAGTATAGTCTAAGAAACAAACCAGTCATAGCAGCATTGTACAGCATAGCTCGATATTTCTGCACAAGATATTGATAGTAGAATGTCACTATTTAAGAACCAAATCCAAAGCAATGCAGTCAGAAAGTACAGCTCTGTGGCTCTTACCTCAACAGCAGGTGCATCATCCCCAACAGAGTAGTTCAATGATTCTCGCAATGGTTTTGTCTTCTCCACTATTTCCTCCGTACTGTATGCTGGAGATATATATCAAAACTAAAGTTTATAACATTTCTTTTGTAAATTGAGAAATCAAAAACCGCCAAGAGAACAATAGATTTAACATTCAAAAAGAACTCATCCAATATCCCACTAGAACAAAACCTAACCAGACAAATAGCAACAATAGTTCTTTCACAGACATTGCTGAAATAAATGTACTATCTGGCTTGATCCAATATCATCAAAATTGCTCTCAGAAAAAACATAACAATGAATTAAATATATATTAAAAAAAAAAAAAAACCCACAAATGAAGATGCAATCCACAAGTCCCTTTTAGAAACTTCATTTCATCTGAAACCAAACCAATTGAGTATTTTGCCTTCCAAAAATCTTAACTAAGCTAAAAACCTCTATGCACTCAGCAAGCATTGGCCAAAAGTTCAGTTCTCTCTTCTTTTGATCAAAACCAAAACTTAGCTTCCAAACATAAATAAAACACTTCCAACAATCAAAAAACCTTTACCATAACAAAAATAACTACTATTTCAATGTTCAATATTCATTGCTCTAATTCTACCAAAACCCAAAATCAAAATCAAACTTACTCCAAAATAAAATAAACTTTACCATAAGTAACATAACCAGCACCAGCAGTGGCACCAGTCAAAGCCGCCACAGTCCATACTTGAGAAACCGCCACGGCGACTTCCGCCCCGCATTCTGCGATGCCGCCTCCTCCGCCGCCGTCGCCTCCGCCGCCGCCGAGAGATCAGCCGCGATCGTTTGCGCGGCTATGATGGGCTCCTTTTTCGGGACATCAGAGCTGAAAAGTCTTCTGAAATCATTACAATGGTTGCCACGATTGAGCCTCGAAACAATTCGAGATCGTACAACATTCCAAGACAGTTTTTTCAAAACAAAAAACTAATTTTTCGCTTTTTTTTTTTTTTTTTTTTTCGTTATTTTGAAGGTTTTGAGGTTGTAGTAGGGTTTTACAATGGGTGTGTTTCTTTCTAACAGAGAGAAAGAGAGCGACAGTCTAAATTTAAAGGATCTGTTTGGGAGTCGGTTTTACGAATATCTAGTTGGAATCCGCTAGATGCTTTTCCAAACACTCCTCCAAAATAATAAATATTTGTAAATGGGCCTATGCTACTGAAACAAACTTTGCCCGATCATTTGAAGCCCATTAGATAATGTGGGCCCATTTATTCAAAATAATGGGCTTAGGCTTGAATATATTACACTTGAAATCTTGAGTTTGACTACTTTATTACTAATAGGAATGAGTGAATGATCACTAGAAGATTCATTCGATCGTTAATTAAATACGCAAAACCGTCCGAACACCTCCAATAAAAAAAAATACATAAATTAATCACGAAGAATACAAGTGTAACGTTATAAGATCGATAAATAGTCAACTTAATCTCTTTGCAACATTTTTCCATGGACTCCACTAGCTCAAAACCCACCAGATTTGTCTTTTATCATCATTTTAATGGTAAAATATCCATAAAAGAGCACGAGATCTGCATATACATTATAGTTGAAAACCCACAGGCCAACCGTTTGAAAATCCATGGGCTAAATCTCAATGTGGCAGTTGAGCATAAGTTACGATTTCCAAAATCAAAAGCAAAAGCTAGCCCTTAGCTGGCCTCAACAATGCCCGTTCTTCATGAAATTTCTAGGCCAAAAGATTTTCCTCACAACACTTATAAATACGCCCTTATTGTTGCCCTGCCTTGCTTTAAACCAAAACAAACACAACCAAATTAACACCATGGCTTTGAAATGGTGGCTCAACCTTCTGCTTACTCAACCAGAGGGAAATTTCAAAACTCCCAGAAGAAAGTTGTGAAGGAGGAGCATGAAAATGGAGGGTTCCAAATGCCACTTCATTATCCAAGGCACAAAGGAGGATTATGAGAAGGGGAGGTGGAAGGTGGACTTGCTTTTGAAGCAATATGGCCTAAGTTTCAAGGGTAGCCTTGAGGAGAAAAGGGTTACGCTAAGGGCACATTTCTTGGCCTGACAACTTTAACAGCCGGCTTCTGCATAAAATTCTTGAACGATTGTGTTGTGAAAAGTCTTAGTCTTTGTTGTGATGTGATGTACAGTGAGAATTTAGTGGTTAAAAAGGGTTCAATTTTCTAACTCTTTTTTGTCACTTCAAGAATCATCTTATCTAATATCGTATCGAATAGAGCAAGTTTCTGTAACTCATTATTAGAACAAATATTCTGCTTTTATATGCTCTGCAAAATTGTTTCAGTATGAACTCACTCTGTTCCATTGACAATCGAACTGATGAACTTCTAAGATCAATTCACAGACCATTCAACAGAACCAGCACCACTTAATCACTTGAATCAAGAGACCAGTTTCAAGATTTTTAACTTCTACTTGACAAATTGGAATCTTTTTACCTTCTAATTAAAAAATCAGACGGTTTTAAGGTGTGAACTTTAAACCCAGATATACTTTAACGTATATTCAATAAACGCTTAATTGTATGCTTGTAACACAACAACAGCAGCAGCAGCAGCAGCCTGAATAAAATCTTTATAGAGGGAAAAAGAATAAAAACTTTTACAAAAAGTGTATCTTATTTTAGGTAACGAATGGCTCTCAGTTCAGGTTCTACCCACAGAATCAAAAGCATTGGTTTGAAGGAATAAAAAAAAACGAAATAAGCAAAGAGTCAAAATAATTATAATAAGGAGAATTTTCAAAGGGTGGACACGTTGCCCCTCTAACTTCCTTAATTGACATCTTGCAAAAGAAACATTCACAACCACACTTATGCGATAAACATAAAATCGCTAGATCGTAGTTGACGTATTTGTTTCGTACGGTTAAGTTGGTGGTTATTACGGTGTATATATATGGGCGGTTTGATTCTCTTTTCAAAAACTAGCTTTTATGAGTAAGTTTTATTCAAGTTTATTTAATAAACAGATAGATCTTTCTTTAAACGAGTTAAAATTCATATATGTTAAAAATCCTTCAAAAACTTAGGTAAATTCATACGAGGAATGAATGATCCAATTTAGTTATATTAGTTTCGGTATGGAATAAACATACCCAATATATTACAAGGTGACAATGACTCCAAAAGTTAGATATTTTGGTGAAGAATTAAAGTAGTTTCTATTGGCTTTATATAAGAGAGATATTCATTTTGTCTAAGCATTATTTTGGTCTCTTTTTTCTGCTTTTTCAGCATATTCTTGAATATTGAATGAAGGAATTGGACTTACAATGAACATAGCATATCTATACTACTAGGAAAAGAATATGTTGAGAGATTTTGACCATGAGAGAGAGGAGAGCACCTTCTGCTTAAGAAAAGAATCTTGAGAGATTGGACCATGTAATATGCAAACAACTTGGTTTTGTAAAACTGTTCAAATGGTGAAGTGCTTTATGGGATTGAAGAAAGTTTTGGAGAGAGACAAAAATTTGAAAGATTTTTGAGATTCCCTTTGCCAAGAGCTAGCATATGATTGTGTTGGAATAATGTAAATTAAAGAGATGGGAAAAAAAAAAAATATATTTAGAATCTAATTTCCCAATAGTAGAAGTTATATTGAATGAAGTTGTTGTCTCGATTAAAAGACAAAAGAAAATTTATTTTTTGAGAAAGTGGGAAGATTTTGATGTGTGATTTATATGCTTTGTTCCTTCTAATAAACAAATGGGATTATCTAAATCAAATCAAATGGAATCCTCTACAAATATATGGGTTATCCAAAGGTCTCGTATTCGAGTCTCATAAAATAGTCATCTATCATATTTGTGTCTTACTTAACCCATTGTAAGGTGTTCAATAGACACCAGAGATTCTAAAACATTTATGTCTTACCTTTGTGTCTCCATTGGATTTATAAGATGTTCAATAGACTCTAAAGATTAGTTGAAGTGCATGCAAACAGGCTTAAACACCTCGGTTAACAAAAAAAAAAAAAAATGTGTATGTTATATATGTTTTTCTATTGCTATTTGATTACTGATAAAAGCTTTTTTGAACTATAAATATTTATCGAATACAATAATTAATTAAATTTGTAGTTTTTCTTCTATGCAAATGTTCGTACTTATCCGTATTTTAGGTTCAAAAGTAAGTCTAAAAACTTATAAAAATTAGATTAAACTATTTGAAAACCCTTTAATATAAGGTCAACCATGTTCTTAAAGTCGATACTCAATAGTACTCAAGACTTAATACACTAAAAATCCATATTCCAAAACAAAAATTAGGTAGAAAACTATTCCCATTCTTGATCAGAAGAAAGTCGAAAGTATAATTCCATTACAAAAAAGCTACACTATCTTGTATGCAAGGAATGGAAGATTAAGACCCCTTCTTGATCCATTAAATCATTAGTTCATTAATCATTTTATAAAAAAGTGGGGTGACTTAGCACATTCATCTCTCTCTTTTTTAATCTTTTTTTTGTCTTGATGGGTTTGGTCCCAAACTCCCAAATGAATGCCAACATATACACTCTTGCTCAATCATGTACCCAAAACTACTACTAGTCAACCTCAAAGTATACCCACATGTAGATAACTCTTACATAAAGGATGGCCACCTAGAAAGTTCAAAACAATCAAGTAATTCAATGAGCAAAACATGTTAAATCTATCAATAATACTATACTTACAAAGAAATTTTACAAAGATTTCTATACAAAGTGAGGTGGCAAAAAATGAATGGAATAGTGAAATAAAAAGTCAAACTCATTAAATTCACTCTTCCATTCATTTTTTGCCACATCATTTTGTATGTAGATCTTTGTAAAATTTCTTTGTAAGTGTAGTATTACTCTAAATCTATATATCCCTTAAAAGGGCATACTTTGCTTTATTTAAAATTTTAAAATGAAACGGTACAAAAATATTAGACAATTGTATAGTCCTTCTCTCTTATAGACGTCGAGAATCCAAATTCATTCTCTCTTGTGAGTATTAGGATTCAGATCTAGATTTTAAATAGTGTAGATGAGAAAATTGACTAAAATTACCTAAAAAATTTCACACAAAAGTGTTCTAATGAAATGATATATCATATATAGATACAACTCATCTCAATTTAAAGGTTATTATCCAAATATCTGTCTCTAAATTGCATGCACACAAGGGCATTTTCGTAAACTTCTCCCGCAACCCATGTAGGTCTTATCAATTTTGAATCTTCTATATAAGGAGCTCCATGGTTTCTTCTTAAACACACACACACCAACACCAAAAACTCTCTCATTACATTACATGCTTCATTTCTTCCCCAAATCCTGCGCCAAAAGTGAAGAGATTAAGAGAGATAGGTATCAACCATGGATTACCAGAGCGATGAACATCAAAACCAGAAGACTTTGAGTCATCAATTTACAAAAACAAAGTTTCTAAAACAAGTCACCAAATTGCTCCTTTCAGTCTCTGTGTTTTCCCTCTTCTTTTCTCACTCAACTTGGTTTTCTTTGGCTATAAAACTGATTAGCCACAACTTAGACAAGAACTATATATTCCTCCTCTGCAATGGACTCCTGGTTTTCCTTGCAAAATTCTCAGGTTTATTATCTTCTTCTTCTTCTTCTAACTATTCTTCTTCATCATCATCATCATCATCATCATACAAACACAGTAATAATCTCACCAATGAGTACTATAATAATTTCAAGCATTACGAAGACGAGTCACGATCCGAAAGGGTTGTAATGGAAGCAGAACATAAGTCAGTGATGGAGAAGGAGCGGGGTGACGAGTTAATCCAAAGTGTTGATCAAACACCAGAAGCGAATGCTGATCATCAAGCGGTTAAAGGGGAAAGTGAGGAAGTGGAACAAGAAGTAGCAGAAGAAACTAAATACGTCATTGAAGAAGAAGATCATGAAGAAGAGAGTAATAAAGAGGCAGAGGCAGAGACACAGGCAGACTTCAATTTCCGGCAAGAAGCTGAAGAAGAGGAAGAAGAAGAAGAAAGAGAACAAAATGGGATGATAAGTACAGAAGAATTAAACAAAAAGTTCGAAGATTTCATCAGAAAAATGAAAGAAGAGTTAAGGATTGAAGCTAGACAGCAATTAGTGATGGTTTGATTTATTAGTGAAATATATTTTTACTATAAAGTTTGTGAAATATAATGTGTGTATTTTATTTTATTTGATACTAAAACCAACTTATGTGATAAACATAAAATCGCTAAGTGTATTTCTGTATTGTATGTAATTGTTTCGTACGGTTAAGTTGGTAAGTTATTACGGGTGTATATATATCTGCGGTTTGATTCTCTTTTCAAAAATAGCTTTTGTAAGTAATTTATTCAAGTTCACTATCATAAAATAGATAGATTTTATTTAAACGAGTTAAAATTCATATATGTTAAAAAATCCTTCAAAAACTTGGTAAATTCATACGAGGAATGAATGATCCAAATTTTAATATATATTAGTTTCGGTATGGAATAACATAAAATATATTACAAGGGTGACAATGACTCTACAAAGTATGATACTTTGGTGAAGAAAAAGTGGTTCTCATGTTGGCTTATATAAGAGAGAATATTCATTTTGTCTAAGTATTATTTTTGGTCTCTTTTTTCTGCTTTGTATCATGCTCTTGAATATTTGAATGAAGGAATTGGACTTACAGTGACAGAAAGCTATATCTACTGCTAAGAAAAGAAATTTTGAGAGATTGTGACCATGAGAGAGAGGAGAAGCACCTTCTCTTAAGAAAAGAATCTTGAGAGATTGTGACCATGTATATGCAAACAACTTGGTTTTGTAAAACTGTTCAAATGGTGAAGTGCTTTATGGGATGAAGAAAGTTTTGGAGAGAGAACAAAAATTTGAAAGATTTTTGAGATTCTCTTTTGCAAAAGAAACTTAGCAATGGTGATTGGAATAATGTATGAAAAGAGATGGGGAAAAAAAAAAAAAATTTAGAATCTAATTTCCCAATAGTAGAAGCTTATATTGAATGAAAGTTGTTGTCTCTGTTAAAAGACAAAGAAAAATTATTTTGAGAAAGTGGGAAGATTTTGATATGTGATTTATATGCTTTGGTCCTTCTAATAAAAAGAGAGCGACAGTCTAAATTTAAAGGATCTGTTTGGGAGTCGGTTTTAGGAAATATCTAGTTGGAATCCGCTAGATGCTTTTCCAAACACTCTTCCAAAATAATAAATATTTGTAAATGGCCCATGCTACCGAAACAAACTTTGCCCAGATCAATTGAAGCCCATTGATAATGTGGGCCTAATTTATTCAGAATAATGGGCTTGGGCTAGCCCATTACAAGATTTAAAATCCCACGATGAATTGGTCATATCAGAATCAAATTTCTGCATTATCCTCCACTTACTCTATTTAGTGGGTTTCAACTAAAAAGATAATATTTTCATTATCTTTTTTTTTTTTTTCTACAAATTTAAACCCTCTAATAATAATATTATATATCCCAAATAATATTTTAAAATTTTTATTCCGAGTGACGTATTTTATTGTATGACAATAATGTATAAATGATGAGTTGATGCAGTACTGATAGCAACATAGATCAATCAAACCATCCCTAAGTGGTCAAGTGGGGTGATAGAGACTTTCGGGTGTGGGATAAATAATCTGAAAACCGAAAGTCGAACCGAAAATCGAACCGAAACCGATCTAAAAATTAGGTTTTTTTTACAAACCGGTTTGGTTTTCGGTTTGTGAAATTCAAAAAACCAGAAAACCGACTCGGTTTTCGGTTTGAAAAAATTTTCAAACCGGTTTTACCCTAAATATAAAAGCAAAAAAACCATTATATATAAAATAATAAATATTTGAATTTAGGGACTTAAATGAAACATTGAAGAATTTTAAGGATAATTTGAAAACCGGTAACCGAACCGAAAATTTGGTTCGGTTTATATTCTGTTTTTAACCGGTCCGGTTTTTGGTTTGGATAAACTGGTTCGGTTAACCAGATTATCCCACCCCTAGTTTGATTCCCTTCTATTGCTAACAGGAATGAGTGAATGACCACTAGAAGGTTTACCCTATCGTTAACTTAAAAAACGCAAAACTTATCCGAACACCCCTAATAAAAAAAATACATAAATTAATCACGTAAGATATACACGTGTAACGTTATAAGATCGATAACATAGTCAACTTAATCTCTTTGCAACATTATTTCCATGGACTCCACTAGCTCAAAACCCACCAAGATTTGTTCTTTTATCATCACTTTTAATGGTAAAATATCCATAAAAGAGCACGAGATCTGCATATACAATTATAGTTGAAAACCACAGGCCAACCGTTTGAAAATCCATGGGCTAAAATCTCAATGTGGCAGTTGAGCATAAGTTACAGATTTCCAAAATCAAAAGCAAAACCTAGCCCTTAGCTGGCCTCGACAATGCCCACTTCTTCATGAAATTTCTAGACTCAAAAGATATTTCCTCTATAAATAAGCCCCCATTGTTGCCCTAGCCTTGCTTTAAACCAAAACAAACCAACCAAATTAACACCATGGCTTTGAAATGGTGGCTCAACCTTCTGCTTACTCAACCAGAGGGAAATTTCAAAAATACCCAGAAGAAAGTTGTGAAGGAGGAGCATGAAAATGGAGGGTTCCAAATGCCACTTCATTATCCAAGGTACACAAAGGAGGATTATGAGAAGATGGAGGAATGGAAGGTGGACTTGCTTTTGAAGCAATATGGCCTAAGTTTCAAGGGTAGCCTTGAGGAGAAAAGGGCTTACGCTAAGGGCACATTTCTTTGGCCTGACCAACTTTGAGAGCTAGGCTTCTGCATAAAATTTCTTGAACGACTGTGTTGTGAAAAGTCTTAGTCTTTGTTGTGATGTAATGTATAGTGAGAATTTAGTAGTTAAAAAGGGTTCAATTTTCTAACTCTTTTTTTGTCACTTCAAGAATCATCTTTATCTAATATCGTTATTCGAATGGAACAAGTATTCTGTAACTTCATTATTAGAACAAATATTCTGCTTTTATATGCTCTGCAAAATTGTTTCATCAGTATTGAACTCACTCTGTTCCATTGACAATCAAACTGATGAACTTCTAAGATCAATTCACAGACCATTCAACCAGAACCAGCACCACTTTAATCACTTGAACTCAAGAGACCAGTTTCAAGATTTTTAACTTCTACTTGACAAATTGGACATCTTTTTTACCTTCTAATTAAAAAATCAGACGGTTTTAAGGTGTGAACTTTAAACCCAGATATACTTTAAACGTATATTGAATAGAAACGCTTAATGTTGTATGCTTGTAACAGCCAACAACAGCAGCAGCAGCAGCAGCCTGAATAAAATCTTTATAGATAGGAAAAAGAATAAAAACTTTTACAAAAAGTGTATCTTATTTTTAGGTAACGAATGAGCTCTCAGTTCAGGTTCTACCCACAGAACCAAAAGCATTGGTTTGAAGGAATAAAAAAAAAGGACAATAAAGCAAAGAGTCAAAATCATTATAATAAGGAGAATTTTCAAAGGGTGGACGCGTAGCCCCTCTTAACCTTCCTTAATTGACATCTTGCAAAGAAAACATTCACAACCACACTTATGTGATAAACATAAAATCGCTAAGTCGTATTTCTGTATTTGTATGTAATTGTTTCGTACGGTTAAGTTGGTAAGTTATTACGGTGTATATATATCTGCGGTTTGATTCTCTTTTCAAAAATTAGCTTTTGTAAGTAAATTCTATTCAAGTTCACTATCATAAATAGATAGATTTTTATTTAAACGAGTTAAAATTCATATATGTTAAAAAATCCTTCAAAAACTTGGATAAATTCATACGAGGAATGAATGATCCAAATTTTAAATATATATTAGTTTCGGTATGGAATAAACATACCCAATATATTAACAAGGGTGACAATGACTCTACAAAGTATAGATACTTTGGTGAAGAAATCAAAGTGGTTCTCATGTTGGCTTTATATAAGAGAGAATATTCATTTTGTCTAAGTATTATTTTTGGTCTCTTTTTTCTGCTTTTTGTATCATGCTCTTGAATATTTGAATGAAGGAATTGGACTTACAGTGAACAGAAAGCTATATCTATACTGCTAAGAAAAGAATATTTTGAGAGATTGTGACCATGAGAGAGGAGGAGAAGCACCTTCTACTTAAGAAAAGAATCTTGAGAGATTGTGACCATGTAATATGCAAACAACTTGGTTTTGTAAAACTGTTCAAATGGTGGAAGTGCTTTATGGGATTGAAGAAAGTTTTGGAGAGAAGAACAAAAATTTGAAAGATTTTTGAGATTCTCTTTTGCAAAAGAAATTAGCATATGGGTGATTGGAATAATGTAAATGAAAAGAGATGGGGAAAAAAAAAAAAAATTTAGAATCTAATTTCCCAATAGTAGAAGTTATATTGAATGAAAGTTGTTGTCTCTGTTAAAAGACAAAGAAAAATTATTTTGAGAAAGTGGGAAGATTTTGATATGTGATTTATATGCTTTGGTCCTTCTAATAAACAAATGGATTATCTAATCAAATCAATGGAATCCTCTACAATATATGGGTTATCCAAGGTTCGTATTCGAGTCTCAAAAATAGTATCTATCATATTTGTTTCTACTTGACCCATTGTAAGGTGTTCAAGACTCAGGATTCTATCACATTTATGTCTTACCTTTGTGTCCCATTGGATTTATAGATGTTCAATAGACTCTAAAGATTAGTTGAAGTGCATGCAAACGGCTTAAACACCCGGTTAACAAAAAAAAAAAAAATGTGTATGTTATATATGTTTTTCTATTGCTATTTGATTACTGATAAAAGCTTTTTTGAACTATAATATTTATCGAATACAATAATTAATTAAATGTAGTTTTTCTTGATGCATATTGTCTATAACGTAATTATCCGTATTTTAGGTTCAAAATAAGTCTAAAAACTTATAAAAATTAGATTAACTGTTGAAAAACCTTTATATAAGGCAACCATGTTTTAAAATCGATACTCAATAGTACTCAAGACTTAATACACTAAAAATCCATTTCCAAAACAAAAATTAGGTAGAAAACTATTCCCATTCTTGATCAGAAGAAAGTCGAAAGTATAATTCCATTACAAAAAGACACACTATCTGTATGCATGGAAGATTAGACCCCTTCTGACCATTAAATCATTTTTCACTAATCATTTTATAACAAAGTGGGGTGACTTAGCACATCATCTCCTTTTTTTAATCCTTTTTTTTTTTTTTTTTTGTCTTGATGGGTTTGGTCCCAAACTCCCAAATGAATGCCAACATATACACTCTTGCTCATCATGTACCCAAAACTACTACTAGTCAACCTCAAAGTATACCCACATGTAGATAAATCTTACCTAAAGGATGGCCACCTAGAAAGTTCAAAACAATCAAGTAATTCAATGACACAAGTATGTTAAATCTATATATCCCTTAAAAGGGCATACTTTGTTTATTTAAAATTTCAAAATGAAACGGTACGAAAATATTAGACAATTGATAGTCCTTCTCTCTTATAGACGTCGAGAATCGAAATCATTCTCCTGTGGGTATCAGGATCAGTCAGGTTTAAATAGGGTATACGAGAAATTGACTAAAATTACCTAAAAAATTTCACACAAAAGTGTTCTAATGAAATGATATATCATATATGATACAACTCATCTCAATTTAAAGGTATTATCCAAATATCGTCCTAAAATGCATGCACACAAGGGCATTTTCGTAAAATTCTCCCCAACCCATGTAGGTCTTATCAATTTTGAATATTTCTATATAAGGAGCTCCATGGTTTCTTCTTAGACACACACACACCAACACCAAAACTCTTCATACCTTACATGCTTCATTTCTTCCCCAAATCCTGCCAAAAGTGAAGAGATTAAGAGAGATAGGTATCAACCATGGATTACCAGAGCATGAACATCAAAACCAGAAGACTTTGAGTCACAATTTACAAAACAAAGTTTCTAAAACAAGTCACCAAATTGCTTTCAGTCTCTGTTTTTTTCCTCTTCTTTCTCACTCAACTTGGTTTTCTTGGCTATAAAACGATAGCCACAACTTGACAAGAAAATATATTCCTCCTCTGCAATGGATCCTGGTTTTCCTTGCAAAATTCTCAGGTTTATTTCTTCTTCTTCTTCTACTAATTCTTCTTTATCATATCATCATCCAAACACCAGTAATAATCTCACCAATTAGTATAATAATTTCAAGCATTACGAAGACGAGCACGATCCGAAAGGGTTGTAATGGAAGCAGAACATAAGTCAGTGATGGAGAAGGAGCGGGGGTGACGAGTTAATCCAAAGTGTTGATCAAACAGCAGAAGCGAATGCTGATCATCAAGCGGTTAAAGGGGAAAGTGAGGAAGTGGAAAAAGAAGTAGCAGAAGAAACTAAATACTCATTGAAGAAGAAGATCATGAAGAAGAGAGTAATAAAGAGGCAGAGGCAGAGACAAGGCAGCTTCAATTTCCGGCTAGAGCGAAGAAGAGGAAGAAGAAGAAGAAAGGAACAAAATGGGATGATAAGTACAGAAGAATTAAACAAAAAGTCGAAGATTTCATCAGAAAATGAAAGAAGAGTTAAGGATTGAAGCTAGGCAGCAATTAGTGTGGTTTGATTTATTAGAGATATATATTTTACCTAAAGTTTGTGAATATATGTGTGTATTTTATTTATTTGATACTTAGTTTTCTTCTTCTTCTTTTCTTTTTTTTTTTTTTTTTTTTGGGTTTGATTTTAATTATATGTGTAATCTACTTGTTTAGCATAAATATATCATAATATATGTCTAATTAGTAAATAATTATCATTAAATGTTGCTATTAAGTGTTAATTACTTGGAGGGCAATGAGTTTTTTTTTTTTTTTTTTGTAATTGAGGTGTCCGACCAGTTTACGTGCACCTCGGCTATTCTTCAGGGGAATTATCCCACATTATTGGTTTATTATTTATATAATTATAAGCTAACTTTTCCCAGGAATATAACCAATATTTTAAACTAAAAATTTACGTTATTTTTTTATTCTATTTTGAGAGATGATTATCAAATTTTATGGCTAGACCCAGATGATGATTTGACTCTAAAGTCTGATTGATTACATACACAACCAATCAGAAGTTATTTAGAGATCCCATTAAGCAATTTATAAAAAGAATATTATCATATAATAATATATGATACTAATTTAACCTTATCTTACTACATAAAATATATGCAATTTAATGCTTTGATAAGCTTGAGCAAGAAAATTAATTTGAGTGTTAGTGTTAAATTAGACATGGAGGTCCACTTGAAAATGATGGGTTTAGATAGCTTAAACACCAAATTTAAAGCCGTGTTCTTAGCCTGAGACAAAGATGTATTGATTAGCTTAACTTTGTTCGCCACCAAAAAATTTTAAAACCCTAATTAATTGATTTCCCCTTTGACTTGGGAAACTTGGTTTTAGTGAAAAACCATGCTTATCAATTAAGTCTCAAGCTTATCATCCGCAACGAAACCATCCCAATCGAGGATCGTAAATCCTGGGTTCTTTTTGTGCAGTGCCGTCCGTTGATTTTGTGTAGGGACATGTTGCTTCAGGTTTTCCCCGTTTAGATATATTTCTTTATTCTTTATAAAATTATCAATTACCCAAAAAACAAAACCATCCCAATTGAGGTAAATTTGGTGGGTTAAATTTGGCTTTGGTTATTGTCCAAATCACAAGCAAAATTGAAGTGTTTTCATATGATGATGGTGTTAGGTCAAGTTTAAGTTGGTAACTAGATCTTAGTGGAGCTTGTTACAATAAATATGTTCAACAAATATATTCAAAGATGCACTCATAATCTTGTAACTTACAACCAAAATATAATTGTTTTGGGACTTCAAATACTAGAGTTAAAAAAGAAAAAA